GAGCTGCAATTATCACTGGGTGACGTGGAGGAACTGGTGAAGTTAATGAAAAACATCTCCAATGAGATCACCAGAGAGACTGGAGCCACTACAAAACCACGAAATTCAGTTCGAGCATCATTGAGCAAGAATGTGGACCAAACTAAATTTGGTAGCTTGGGCAATGCCTTCGCAATCATCTTTGTCGAAGTGTTCGAAGTGGGTACTTTGGCTGCCTGCGATTGGGAGATCATCGAAACTGCACTGGAATGCATTGTTGCAGCAAAGCATGTGAGAGACTTCGAGCTCTTGGACTGGGTCCAAGAGGAGGAAGCGAGAAAAGCTAGGGAAGCAGAGGCGCTGAAGGAGAAAGAAAATGCTGAGAAGGCTGAACAGGAGAAACTCAAACAACAGCACATCATGCGTCTGCAAGAGATCAGAGAGGTCAAACAACAATGCGAACGTGATGAAGCCAAACTTGTGGCGACATGTCGAGAATCTTCCAGCTCGCACTATGTGGATGGAGCTCCCAAACCAGGTGATTTATTCCGAGGAGACACACCCGAGATGAAAAAGCCGAAAAACGACTATCATGCCAAAGTCCAACCCAGATATGAAGTATCTCCAGGAAAGAAAAGGTGGATGAACGGAAAATGGTACAGACCTGAAGAAATTGAATTGTTTGAAAAATGTCGCAGAGAGACGAACGCAAGAATAGCAGCTAATAAGGCTGCAGCTTTGGCCCGCAGAGATGCCATGGCACAGCAGAAACGATGAGGACAGAAGGATACCACAAAGAGACGGCATATGCTTGAAATGTTTCAAAAGGATTAGTTAGGGGGCTTGATCATGGGATGATCATCTTCTCAGAAGTATTTTCTCAGCATTCGGGCAGAAAAAGAAAGACCGGATTGTAATTCATTTCAATGTTTTACTCATCAGATTGAGAAAAGTGACTCCAATTCTTCATTCTTCCTCGTTCGGCTCAAGGAGATGTTCTGTGCAATTTTTCTTTTATTTGATTCAGGACATGAAATGCGTACTTAACACAAGATGCAACTATGCGCTTTTATGTTATCAACGATCTCAAGAAGTCGTCCTTTATCATTTCAACTAGAAAGCAGCAGACTGTTTTTGTTGGCATTACGCAGCATTGCTCTATTCGCCATGCCACATCTTATGACATCTAAGTTACCAAGCGGCACGCCAGAATCTGCCAGATCATTCATTGGTTTGGTGAAACTCTTGAAGAAGCAGCTTACACTGGAGGATGTACACCAGTTGGCAGTTTTATCCAAGTCCATGAAGGAGGTTACAACAATTTGGCAAAAACTTCTATCCGACAATGGGAACGTACTGCCTCCAGAGTGGAACGCAGAAGAAGATTTGAGAAATGTGCAACATCGCTGTGATGACACACTCTTCAGTCAGGTTGGGAAAGCTCTAGCAACAGTGTTGACCGAATTGTTGCAGGTGATTGACCTCGACATTGAGAATCTGACTGACATTGTGGAACATCTCGACAACATGTCATCAACCAAGGAGAATTTGAACAATGGTTCAGCACTGGAAAAAAGAAAATTGGAATCTTGTCAGAGCCAAGATGACATTAGACGACAGAGCCTGGAACAGCTGCGGGCACTGCGACAGAAAAGAGAAGCTGTTGAAGACGAAGAAAAACAGATTGAAGCACTCATTGCCGACATTGACAAACGTCAGAACAGTGCTAAGTTCTCCAGTACAGCAGCAAGCAAACTTGCTGAAACTGTTCCCAAGAGATGCATTGAGTCACAAACTCGTGCTCGAATTTTTATGGAAGAATATCAAAAAAGGAAGCTGAGCATACCAGCCCAGGAATCAACAGAGACAATAAAGATTGGAGATCAGATGTGGAGTCCAACGCAACTGTTCGAAAGATGCAAGCTTTTGAAAGACGAAAAAGATCGAGCTTTTGCTGAAAAAAAAGAACAAGAAAAAAGGTTGCTCCAGGAGACTATTAAAACAAACAGAATAATTGCATTGGCCAAAAAAAAGGCCAGAATATTCCAAGCGCATCTGGATGATACATTTGCTTTTTTCAAATAACGGGGTTATGTACACAATTTCTCGTGTCAATGTGGGTGAGACAATACGTCTGCATCAGATGTAGTTGTCTCTGTATGTTCGACCTGGGGCGTAGAAGAAAAAGAGGTCGTCGACAGTAGAAGTTCATAAGCAATATTTGGCTTGCATGTAATTGGAAATTCTTAGCTTTCTTAGTGTTCTGCTATTCATCAAACCTTGAGTCACGCTTTGTTGATATATTGTTGTGGATTTGTTCTTGAATTAAACCTGAATCATGCAACTTCATGCGCTCACTTTATCACGAACATTTCCGACACATTTCCCCGCCGTCGTTTTTTCGTCTCGAAGGCAGCACGTTCATTTTGCATGTGATTTGTCACGGATGACTTCTGCTAATTCTCGTCACCGTGCATGTTGTCATATGTGGACCTTCACAACGCCACAAGATTATTTGCAGAATGCAGCTGAACGAAAGGATCAGTGTCAGTATGTTCCAGAAGATTTCTCGAGGAACGACATATGTGAAATGTTTCGAACTGCTATGTCGGAACTTGGACACGGCTCCATTCTAGAGCAACTCGTTGTGGTCAAAGAGCCACTACTCAACCATTACGGATTTCAATTTCGTGTTATTTTCAAGACGAAAACTTCTTTTGCGAGTGACGACATTAATACACTGCTTGCCCAAAAAAGGGGATGCCGAGGTTCCATGAGCCATCCTGAGAAAAATTGGCAAAGTCTTGTACAGTATGTTCTGGATTGCAAAACAAAGCGAAAAGAGGTGGCCGAAGACAAGATCCCTTTATTTTGGCCGCACATGTGGCAGACCAAGAGTCAGGTGGTTCAGCAATGGCAGGATCAAGCAATGTCGCATAAACAGTGCACATCGAAACGAGGAAAACCAACCTTGGAGCAGCGACAGCTGAAGAGAAGAAGGACGCTGAAATTTGCGGATTTCGTGGAGATTGCAAAACAAAATGGCATCACCAATGAAAACGAGTTTTGGAAAATTGCTGGCAGAGAAAAAGATGCAGGTAACCATGCCTTGTGGAACTATGGAGGCAAAGTCATCGTCAGCCAGAAAATCTCCAAGATGTTACAAATGAAGAGCGAGTGATTGCGTGCACATTGTCTAGTAATTCAGGCAAGTCCTGTGATCGAATGAAGATCACCATGCATTCTTTTGCACAAACTGCATTGTGAGCGCAAGAAAAATTAACGCGCAGCATAGTGAAACAGCATATTTGAAACATTTTGCATAAGCTTAGAACTGAACTATGATCCGTCTTTGCAGCACGGCAGTTCAAACAGAATATCGCATTCACATTCGCATCATCCAGACATATTTATACGATATATATATATATATATATATACATCGGAAACAATAATACAAACAGCGATTCTACTGAATTGAAAGAACGTAGATTTCATGTCCTCGTCTCCCTCTGAGCCATGTCTGCAGACATCCTCAGTTCCGATTACTCAGAATGAAGAGCAAACTGCTCAACAAAAGGATGATTCTTCATATGTCCTTTGTCAATACGATTCCTCTGAAAATGAGGAAGAAAAGGCTCTGAAAACGGAACACAGATCATGGATCATGATGTGGACCTTCCCCACACCGAGATCGTATTTGAAAACTTATGAAGAAAGAAAGAAGAAAAATGAGCTGATTCCAAGAGACATCAGCAGAGAGGAGCTCGAAAAAAACTTTTTGGATGCTTTGAACAAGTGCCAGCTGATGGGGAAATTGAGGCAGATGATAGTGGTTTACGAACCACACAAGAAGCTTATGCCCGATGGCAGTGCACACGAAATGCACTACCACGTTTGTTTCAAGATGTCTGCAAACTTTGCCCACAAAGGGGTGTCCAACACACTCGCTCAACACTACGGGCTACATGGACACATGTCGTACCCGAGGAAAGGCTGGTACCAAATGGCAAAGTACGTGCTCACAGACTCTGCTGTGAAGCTACCCGTACATTTAGACCCGACTCCATTATTCTGGCCGACAAGAATGACAAAAGAAGACATGCTGAAGAAGATGCAGCTCACCGAAGAGGACTACTTGAAAAAAAGAGCGGAAGAAAATAGGATGCAATGGAAGGAAGAAAGCAACAATGGCGATGGTACACATCAGGACCGATGGAGAAAAAGAAGGAGAGTGCTCGATTTCTCCGAATTTTCCGACTACGTCCTACACCACAAAATCACAAACGAACAAGAGTTCTGGGTGTTGGCTTGTAAGGAGAAAGAAGCAGGCAATCCAACTCTGTGGAACTATGGTGGAACGGCGGCTGTGGCCAAACAAATCCAGAAATGCAATAAGGCACACATGGCCCAATTCCGGGACGATGTCTTTTTAGGCACCTCCAAAGCTACAAGCAAATATCCATTATCTGCTTTCAACATCCCAGACGATATTCGTGTTTGGATGAAACACTTCAAAGGTGAAATGGCTCTTATCATCCAAGGCGAGGGAGGACTTGGAAAGACAGAAATGGCAAAGGCAATATTGGCCTCAATGGGAAAGTACTTTTTTGTGGACAGTTTGGATACTGTGAAATCATTGCTTTTCACAGGAAAAGAGTCGATTCTTTTCGACGACGTCACACTGCAGAACTTCTCAGTTGACGAGGTGAAGTCGTTTCTCGACGTCAAATCGGAAAGAGCCGTGAAATGCCGCCATGAGGATGGTTTTATTCCTGCTGATACTGTCAGGATATTTCTAACAAATCATGAACGGCATACCTTTTTTCCAAGGGAAACTGATAACAAAGATCATTCAAGGGCCATCAACAGAAGAATGATCTGGGTCACAGTGACCGAGAAACTGTTCACGGAATCAGATGGAAAGACTCAAAAAGACAAAGAAAAAAAGTTGGAGTACAGTGTGAGTCGGAGATTCCGGTAATGGATGATCTGGAAACACTCAAAACAAAACAATCGAGGAGTGCAAAGGAAGCTTCCTTCAACAGCCCATTTGATGAAGAATATGAACCTTTGTTAGAAGAATACGACATGTTCGACGGAGATGAGGAAGCTGCAATGTGGATGAATCTTTCTTCGGAAGATGCATGCAGAGAATCTCCTGCCAGCTCAAAAGGATTGCCTTTGCTGAGTTCAGGGAAAACCTCGCCTTCCGCAAACAAAGAGCTTGAAGCAAAAATGATGATCGAGAAAGAGACAAAAAGACCCGGAAAAGATGAGACCGCTCACCTTGGAAAAGACACGGTTTCGATTGAGAATCATGAACATGATCGACCTGAACCCAAAAAAAACATCAATCGAGTGAAGTGCATTGCCGAAAACAGTTTCCGACCTTTGGTCAGATACAGGAGAAAGAGCAAGCCGAACCCTCCATGGCACCACTATGAACATCGAAGAAGAGATGTACGATGGGGCACGTCACAGAAGTCATGGTGGCCGTGGCAATCATGAAATGCGAGAGATTTATCATTACAATGTCCATTTGGTTTTGCTCCAAAGCAGGGCTCTTCAACAGCGAGTGATCGGGCTTCAGATGAACACAACTATGGCAGGATTATATATTTGCTATACGATTGGAAATAAAAATCATATGTACAAGCTGTTTGTTTCATCATGTTACCTCTTAGCTGCCCTGCACAATCATTTTGTCTCGTTTTCAACGAGAAATTAACGAATGCTGGGAAAAGCATTTTTGCTTCATTGTAGAATTTACATGAAGCTTAATTAGAAAATGTTTCCGTTTGCACACAGACGGAAGAAACGATCAGAGAGTTGTTCTGCTGTGTCTGCTGAAACATGTTTCGTTTCTTTATCGTGGCTACTGACTCAGAATAAGCTTCTTGCAGAGAATTTCTAGCTTTCATTGCATCTTCTCATAAGGTCTTGTTGATTTCTGTTCGAAGTGCAAGGGAAATGTACTTTTTTTTTGGCTTCAAACAAACGCGGAAACGGTAAACTGAGGGGCGAAAGACAAACAGTCCTCATGGTCTTTTCCATCAGATCCAAACAACACATCATCTTGTCCTCGATTCTATTTGCAGTTCGAGCTCAAAAACTTTCGTTACTTGGTCGCAACATGCCAAAACCCGAGGAACTAGATACGGCATGCCTGGTTTATTTGTTGACAGGTCATTTGACGGTATGCATCCACTCAGCTTTCACAGAAACTGCAAATGATGAGTGGAACACTCGGACAATCAATGTCAAACAGTTCCTGGAGAAAGGGAGGCATGTAACGAGGAAGTTGGCAGACACCGATTTGGAAATGTTTTATCATTTCGATTTAGCTTGGACGGATGCAGCTTATTTTTTTCAATCTCTGCTGCACAAGAATGGGAACGTGGATGCTCGCAAATTGAAAAGCAAAGAAACATCATTGCAAAGCAAAAGGAAAGGTACGTTTGCAGAGACAGATTCCAAAATTGCTATGCTAGTTCAGCGACTTACCAATGATGTGACACATGGCATCGGAAAGCAACATCCGAATGACTGGGAGGAAATTGCCAACAAATACATGTGGGCCAACGCTCAGCTCACTCATTTGCCAAATATTCTCGGTTTGGAACAGAGTATGCGTGCATTTCACCTTTTGACTTTGGAAGCTTCTGAATTTGCATCGTCGCTCCATGATGAGTGGAAAAGAGAAGAAGCACGAAGACACAATCAAGAAGACGAATAGATCGCTCCATTTACCGACGACAATGAAACTGTGATCTGCAGTGATGCTTAGAATCCAAAAAATCCTACGAATATATCTTGGGTATGTTTTTCGGCCCTTACTCAACATTTGTAGAGGCCACGCATTGGCTCAACAAATGGAACCGGATGTGGTCGACTGGTTGGGGTGCGTTGCAATCAAATGGACTACATACAACAAATGTCTGACGTGTGAGCAGTGGTGATGTCTGCAAATCAGTCGTTTTACCCGACATTTTGGTGAATGCATTGTCCGATGTGCGGCAAACATCTTGGTTGCAACCTAGCAGAGGAGACCAGCGCAAAAAAAGGCAGTCATGCTGAGATCGGATTTAAAATCAATGTTATCCGGCAATGGTATTTAAAATCAAGGACATGAACGAGGCTGGCTTCAAATGACCATTACTTTCTGTCCTCACCGTGAACGTGCCACGAATGCGTGTTTATGCTTTCGGCTCAATTCTGTTCATTCCTTTTTTGTAAACAGAATAGATCATTTCATGCCACGAAGATATTTCAAGAAGGGCATTAAACAAACACCCATTTCGTAGCTTCATTACATTGAAACAACATGTGATTGGAGAGACCACATGAAAAGACCTAAACTAAGATTGCCTCCAAAATAAATGGCAATGGCATGGGATGCGATGGGTACCACCTTCGATAGTCTCATCGATCCATTGTTCAAGATCAACAGTCTATTGGCACGCTTGCAGGATCTGGAATCAGATCTATTTCAGATACAGGAGGACACACCAGGTTATTTCTTAGAAGCCAATCATGCAATCAAACAGGCTCTGGCGCAAGCACGACAAGCGATTCGGGCAATTGAACAACAGCAACGCAGACATCTGGTTTTTTTTCACGGAAGCCTTGTGCGGTACCATACCGATCTTGAAAGATTTCCACCACTTTGCGATCCTCAAGCAGGCTTTTTACACAGCCAGTAGCCAGTGAGAGATTCCGAAGAAGGATGATCTTAGAAATTTCCCAATAGGAACCTAAGACGATTCTTGGGTGCAATTTGTGCAAAGTCTTAGGCGTTGAGGGAGACATTGAACGCCAAGAGAAAAAGCTCGCACAGTGCATCAGCATTCAAACTGTGTATGCAAGGTTCGGTGAACTTTGTCGCGGAATTGGAGGAAAAAAAAGGTTTCAATACAATCGTACAGATGAAAGTTGGTGATAGGGAATGTTCGTGATCCGGTTCGAAAGAAAAGAATGTTCCAGATGCAAGTCGGTGATCGGGACTGTTCGTGATCCGGTTCGTAAAGCATTGATTTATTTAACCTCCTTTTTTTCAAGGATTTGCATCATAGAGAGTTGCACCGATGAGTTTTATTTTTCAGACATTTGGTGCGACTGAAAGCTGCGATGGTGTCTTGGTACGGTCATTTGGTGCGACTCACAGGTGCGACTTGTGTTTGGTACTGTCATGTGGTGCGACTGAAAGGTGCGCCGGTTTTTTGGTACGGTCATGTGGTGCGACTGAAAGGTGCGACGGTTTTTTTGCTACGGTGATCTGGTGCGACTGCAAGCTGCGACTCTTCGTCTGCTACGATCATTTGCTGCGACTCAAGGGTGCGACTCTTGGCTTGGTACGGTCATGTGGTGCGAATGAAAGGTGCGACGGTCTTTTGGTACGGTCATGTGGTGCGACTGACAGGTGCGACGTGTGTTTGGTACGGTCATGTGGTGCGACTGAAAGGTGCGACGCTTGTTTGGTACGGTCATGTGGTGCGACTCACAGTTGCGACGGTTTCTGGTTACGGACATTTGGTGCGACCGAAAGGTGCGACGGTGTTTTGGTACGGTCATTTGGTGCGACTCGAAGGTGCACTATTTCTTTGGTACGGTCATTTGGTGCGTCTCACAGGTGCGACGTTTATTTGGTACGGTCATGAGGTGCGACTGAAAGGTGCGCCGGTTTTTTGGTACGGTCATGTGGTGCGACTGAATGGTGCGACGGTTTTTTTGCTACGGTCATCTGGTGCGACTGCAAGCTGCGACTCTTCGTCTGCTACGATCATTTGCTGCGACTCAAGGGTGCGACTCTTGGCTTGGTACGGTCATGTGGTGCGAATGAAAGGTGCGACGGTCTTTTGGTACGGTCATTTGGTGCGACTCACAGGTGCGACTTGTGTTTGGTACAGTCATGTGGTGCGACTGAAAGGTGCGACGGTTTCTGGTTGCGGACATTTGGTCAACTGACAGGTGCGACGGTGTTTTGCTACGGTCAGTTCGTACCGCACCGTACCTAGACTAGTTTTTTTGGTTTCGTCAAAGCATTACTCTTCAGCTTAGCCAAGTATGAAGCAAGTATAGGTATACTAGCTTTAAAGCAAAGAGTGCATTCCCAAAAGATACTGAAGTCTCAAATGATGGCTCGAAGAGCTGATGTTGAAATAATGCTATTCTACAGGTGCAGCTTGCTATTATTTTCATGGTATTTGTCATTTTAAAATAGACAGGTTTACCAGGAAGATGCTGAATCGTTTACAGCAATTCATAGGATGCCATTCAGCTCACCCTAAAGAAACAACATCACACAATTCGTGCCAGACGTGCTCATGCCATGGATTACCGTTGCTTTCTGAGGGAAGTTCATTACAGAATCGTCGATGAGAACGAAGAGAACTGTCATCCTACTTCCTTTACATTGAGAGATGCAAGCAAACTTGCCAAAGTTGATGTTGGGACACCACTCTTTCAGCACGACAACCAACATTATACAATTGAAGGTTTGGTCCCAAAGAAAGAAGACCAGATACAGCTGACCAGAAAAGAACAGTCTTGGTTGCTTGTAGAAATTCCAATCGTGCCTGACTATCCAGAATATGCCTGGGCTGCACTGAGACCAGCACGAACAGTACCGTGGGAAAAACATGCTCAAGAGAGAAGTGACGGTTACTACTCTCCTGCAGGCTTCAAACCACGATATCCTGAACCGAGCAAATGGTACAAACGTAGACCAGGTAGTGACTTCAAGAGTTCCTCCCAACACCCATGCAAGTGTCATAGGCTCCGTTTTTTGGTGCGTCTCAGTGATGCTTTGTCGCGAGCCGCAGTGGATTGCACACAAGATTGGTTTTTCGTAGATTTGCCGATCCTGGATGCTACCATTACAGAAACTGTCGGTGACCTGCTCCTGTTTGCCGCTGAATTGGTTGGAAACGACCGGCTGCGACCGGGCCACTTAGCCATCAGCGCAGGCGTTCCCAATGAGCGTTTATGGCAATGTAAGACACCCTTAATTGTTCTTTGGAATCACATGCACATCGCCTCGCTCAAGCTCACTGGAGAAGTTCCTGCTTTCGCTTCGCTAAACTCTGCAGACCACACATCCAAACTAGGCACGCCTGCCGATGCAACTAAAGAAGAAGGTGAATACTTTGCCATGGCAGCCATACACACTCTGCCTGAGTGGGTCATATCTGACGAACTCAAAGAACTTCGAGAAAAACATGCAACTGGTCCATGTCGATTGCCTCATGAAGAGCTAAAAGAGGTTCTGTCTGACAAGCCGAACAAAGTGCCCTGTGGTATAACACAGACAAGCAAAAGAAACAAGAATCGTTCAACTAAGACATCCTCTGCAGCTTCTTCAGCAAACACTCAGAACACCGTGGACTAACAAAGCACCACACTTAAAGCAATTTCCTCTCAATAGAATCAAAGCTTTTTCAAGAGGTGGCTGATATGAGACTGATCGCTTCCTCATCCCAATGCGTTCGTTTCACCTTTCCGTACAATGGTCCAGATGACAGTCGGTGATCGGGAATGTTCGTGATCCGGGTCAAAAGGACAAGAATTTTCGAGATGCAAGTCGGTGATCGGGACTGTTCGTGATCCGGTTCGAAAGGCCAATGCTTCGCGTTATGCGATGGGTGAGAGGGGAGGTCCAAGTGAACCAATTTGATATCCTCTATATCAACAGAAAACATGCTTTGCCAGAGCAATTCCCATTGCGTGTGAAATTTCTTGCTGATGCATCAAAGAATGTACCTGCAAAGTGCGAGAAAAAGCTCGCAATCTGCAGCAACATTCAAACTCTGGATGCAAGGTTTGAAGAACTTTGTCACAGAAGTGGAGGAAGATAAAGGTTTCAATCGACTGTCCGATCGAAAGGATTTCGATCGGGAAGTGGATTGAAAAGATGCAAAATCGTACTCTGGACAATTCCCGCCCTGCGGCAATTCAAAATAAGAATGGGAGGCAAAAGACAGTTTCGGAAACAAATGCGTACAAGAATCCGTAGTTTGTTTACCAGGTGGCTGATATGAGACTGATCGCTTCCCCATCCCAATGCGTTCGTTTCACCTTTCCATACAATGGTCGAGATGACAGTCGGTGATCGGGAATGTTCGTGATCCGGGTCAAAAGGACAAGAATTTTCGAGATGCAAGTCGGTGATCGGGACTGTTCGTGATCCGGTTCGAAAGGCCAATGCTTCGTGTTAGGAATTTCATGCATTTCGAAAAAAAAAAGAACATGTGCACTCAAGGGTCAGTCTTTTGGTTGTACCGGGTTAAAAGCTGTCCGCATAAAAGTGCTCAAGATACCGCTTTCCAGTCGTTAGCGTATTTCGTTCTATATTGTTTGCATTCACAGAAATATATACTGAATCCATCTTTTAGACTTTTGATTCATTAGCAAGTAAACATTTTGCCACTAATCTGCATTCGTGCAAATCTTTTGCTATGCTGTCCTGCAAGTCCATGCTTGCGGCATGGCCTTGCGGAGCAGTGCTGCAAATCAAGGCTCTAGACTCTGGACTCTGCTGCAGCAAATAGTAGCCAAAAAACTTGTCTGCTATTCGCTCCAGTCAGAGTCCTGGCTCCGGAGTTCGCGAATGATTAGCCGCAACTACCAGACCAAGCTGTTATGATATGGTGGACATTCGATGTTGTGGCTTCTGGAACTTCCAGAGGCTCCACCGCACCGAATGTGTTGCCTTAGCGCACTTATCTCCTGCTTCTATCTTCGGAATGAGACCGGCACAAGTTGTTCTCCACATTGCTAACATGTATGTGGTGATCTCCCTGAACTACGTCGTGTCTACACAGAAATTTGGGCTGCACAGACTACAATCTTTTCAAACGTAAAGGTATTACGATTTATCCGTTTCTTTATTCTGTTTTATTCGATCACAGTACATTAGTCATTTTACGAACATAAATTAGTAAAGCTTGCCATCGCCCCTTCAATGCTGGCTGAGAAGGCCTTAGTTTGAATATAGGATTGATGCGAGGAATTGCTTGGAAGCAGTCAAAGAATATAAAGAGTTTTCTTCAATGATGAGGTTGGAATTGTCTTCATGCATCTTTTTATCTTGATTGAAATTGAGGTATCTATTCCTGCGGAACATTCGAGACAACAAAGACCGAACTGGTCTGGTATTTGCTGCAAACAACGCTCCGAAGGCATAGCTGGCAATTTGGACATTGTGCTTCTAATCAGAATTCCTTGAAATCTTTGCAATGCATTACTGGATGGTTTCTTTTGACCATCCAGTAGCGCCTTGCGTGGAAAACCTTGCGTGAAATTGTCTCCTAGCATACCCGTCGTGGAGATCTGTCGAATTTGCTGCTTGTACATGCAACTGCGAAACAGGTTCATATCAAAATGGCCGCAGAGGAATAAAGTAATTAAGCTAAAGTTCGCCTCCTCAATGATGGCTAAGAACACATTAGTTAGAAAAGCGGATAATGGAGAAGAATTCTATGGAAGCATTTGTAGGAACGTATGAACTTGGACATGTGTTTGTTTTTTCCAGTTCATGTTGTTTTAACTGACTTTGGCGGCTGCTGAGGCATTTATGTTCAGGAATGCTTGAGATCAATTTGACTCGGGCATTCTTGAGCATTACATGCATATTTTCTATGAAGAACTGAAACAATGCTGGTGCCTTGCATTTGAAGTTCAGACGCAATCTATATCCATGGACAGTGTTGCAGGCAAGACCATTTGGATACTGTTTGAACTTTTTGTCGGACACAGATGAATTTGGCATCTATTCATTCTGATACTATCATGATTTTCTTTCCCAAGACGTGAATGTAATCTGCATTGGTTGAAGTCTTTGCAATACATTGAGGCAAAATCATGAGATGGTCTTTGTCGGCTGGAGCCTCATTGTATATTCACTTTGAATGAAACTCGGTTGCTCCCCAACTTCGATCGACTCCTCAATCCGCGTCAACAGATCCGAGTACCTGCCGCGGAGCGCACAAACTGTACTCTGCAAGAGTAAGGATTCGATGCTCGTGGCTTGCATCTTGAACCAAGACGCACTCTACGTCCACCGAATGCGTTACCTTAGCGGAACATTCGAGGCGAGAAGACCGAACTGGTCTGGTATTTGCTGCAAACAACACCCCGAAGGCATAGTTGGCAATTTGGACATTGTGCTTCTAATCAGAATTCCTTGAAATCTTTGCAATGCATTACTGGATGGTTTCTTTTGACCATCCAGTAGCGCCTTGAAAAGAATTGCTGGAAAACCTTGCGTGAAATTGTCTCCTAGCATAACCGTCGTGGAGATCTGTCGAATTTGCTGTTCATACCAAAATGGCCGCAGAGGAATAAAGTAATTAAGCTGAAGTTCGCCCCCTCAATGATGGCTAAGAACGCATTAGTTAGATTTGCGGATAATGGAGAAGAATTGTATGGAAGCATTTGTAGGAACGTATGAACTTGTACATGTTGAGATTTGTTTCCGAGGATTCTCTTTTGCAAGCGTATTTTTTTTCCCGCTCGCTTTGGCCGCAGGTCAGACATCTATATGCAGAGAGTTTTTGAGATCAAGGACTGTTCCGCACCTCGTGCATGTCTCCAACAAAGAACTGAAAGTGGTCAATTTGTTTCTCTGAGATTCTTCATCTTTCCATTCTTTCTGATACTCTCACGATTTTGTTTCACAAGATGTGGTCGGCAAACATTCAGCGCAAGACAGAAGCGTTGTTGCTCTTGACAACTTCCGACTACATCTTTGCAAGATAACAGGACCCAACTATCCAATCGGATCTGGAGCCTCGAAGACAAGGTCTTCCAGGAACTTCTCACCTGCAGGTTCCAACGACTTGAATCGAATCTCCTGCATCAGTGACTTTTTCGATTTCGTTACAAATTCAGGCATGACAACAGATGTACATTTTCTTTGCGTTCGCAGTCTGATGAGTCCAATCTGCGGATCAAAGCTTTCCTTCCTTTTTTCGCAGCACAAAATCTATTTGTGTCTACTAACTTTTTGAAAGCCATCATTGAGGGGGCGGCGGCCACTTTATCTTTATGATTTTCGGTCTTTTCTCTGCAAAAATGAACTCTTATCTTTTCTTGGCCTCTCTGCTTGTAAATGTTTTCTCTGTTTCAGGCTCAGTTGAACTCTGATGTTTTTTTTTCTGCAAGGCTGGAATTGGATGTTAGCCTTTTGTGGAGTTGTCCGGCGCTTCTTTCCTTTTGCTAGAAACCTTTAAATTAAATGAAAGGATGTTTGTAATCTGTCAGCTCTATCGGATGGCTCGCCACAAATTGAAACAAGCAACTGAGGTTCCTTAGATGGAGTACAGCGCATTTTGAGGTGTTCCACTAGCCTTGGTGCTATAAGAATGGGTTGGTTGTTTCTATCTTGAACATATACACATACTTCTATCTTTTCATTGCATAAGACTATTTTTTGGTACGGTCATGTGTGGATTGAACGGTTGACCCTCAGATGAAGGCCACTTGCCTCCTGTCAAACGTCTTTGGTTGTTTTCCACGTGCCTCCTGTGACCATCATTTAAATCTTTGTTCTGGTTACCGGCCAGCGTGAGGCGGAGGCTTTACGTTCGAGGAAAAACATGACATTGGAGAATTTTACAAACATTTGAAATGCTATCGCAAAGAGACGCTGTGAAAACAGAGATGGCCAAGTCAACACTTGCATCAACAGGAAAGTACTCCATTCTTTTCTGTTTTTGAATGCTTTGCTGATCGTATTGTTTGTTTTGTTTTCTTTTGAGGTTGCGACATTGAGTGGTTCACACAGGGACATATGTATGCTAAAAAAACTAGCTTTGTTTTGTTCACAGGGAGAGAAGAGCGGACAGAAAAAAGTAATAGCCTACATAATATTTTAAATGTTATCGCAAAGAGAGTGGATGTTGGTGACAGTTATTTGTGTCTTTTTACATGATGTATCTGTTTTATTTCATTATTTTTTGCTTAAAAAATAAATGTTAGGGACACAATATTCGTTACCGAGACACAGACCTGTGTTACAAAGTCTTAAGCTGCCAGGAAACTTGCGAATTTACGCCCCCAGAAGAATTGAGGAGACAAGGCCTGAACCGCTCGTTCCATTCAAGTTTCTTTGCCTGTCTTGTCTCGTAGACGTGTAGGTACGTGGGAGCTCTTGGATGCCACCGGGCCCTTGGCAGCGTTGCACCAGCGCGTTCTGGAGGCTGGTTGCCAAGTGAATCCCGAGGGCAACCCCGTGAAAGCATTGTTCGCATTTATTCCCTCAGGAAATTGAGAGAGCCGTAACTTTGAATACGCAATGGGTCTGCCAGTGCTTGGCTTCCCGTGATCAGCTTCGTCTGTGATCGGGTTGCCTGGCGCTGGTTTTCTCTTTGCTATAAACATTTATGGCAATTATCAATTTGAAGCAGCTTTCCATTCTAAAAGAATACTGCTGAAGAATGGGTTTGTTGTTCTGGGTTTCCCGTGATCAGCGTTGTCTGTGATCGGGTTGCCCGGAACTGCTTTCCCTGAGAAATTATTTGAAAGAGTTGTCAAGAAAAAATATCTTGCAAGTAGCTTCCCTGCGTCCAGCAGTGCGGACAAAAAAAAGGCTTCCGAACAAACAGTCCTCGAAATTCAGGGGCACGCGGAACTTGGAACAAAGGTGTTTTTGTCGGAGGAAAAACATAAGAGTGGACAATTTTACAAACGTTTTTGGCTGGAGAAGGAGAACATCGAGCATCTTAAATCGTTCTTGTGGTTACCGGCCAACGTGAGACAAAGGCTTAACGTTCGAGGAAAAACATGACAATGGATAATTTTACAAACATTTGGTGAAATAGATTTTGTGCTGTTGGCAGTTTTTCCTTTTGCGATCTTCGAGGTCCTATTTTTTAGAGGCGCAAGATTTGAAACTGAGGTTTCTGAATGTGGCGTTTTGCTCGACGACGAGTGTTGAAGTCTGCATTCGCCTCGAGCGCAGGTTTCGCAAGTCGGTGTGGATGTGAATGGTGAATGTATGTCGATGTTTTTGGGAACAAAAAAATTGTTCAGCTATGGTTTGGTGGCCTTTCAGGCGCAAAGATTTTTTTCAGAGTAGTTAGCAGGCCCCAGTTGGGGAGGTAGGGAGGGTGGGCCAGGCTGCTCAAGCGAGCAGCTTGGAAAGAAACCGGTCATGTCTCCGACGCTGCAAGTTTGCGTCGACATGCATCAACGCTTTAATATCGAATTCATGCCACATTTTGTTTTTATCAAGATGATGATTTGTTTTTTAACAAGATGATGATTTTCCCAATGCATGTCGGAGAGCGGGTGTGTCCGTGATCCCTTTTCCATTGCCAGGGAAACTTTTCTGTATTCTGCAGTTTTATTCGAATGCTCCAGTTGGAAGAAACATTGTTATGCAAGCAATGTGCTGAGTGTGTTGTTTGTTTGTGACTTTGCTGTGTAGCTGCTGTTCCGAATGTGCATAATTTGTGCGTCTTTATCCCTCCTATAGTCTCAAGATTTTGGCTCTTTGTGGCGCCGATTTGTGACCTGTGACGATGAATGGAGCGATCAACGATGATCTTGCAAAGGCACTTGGTCTCCTTTTTTTTTGTTTTTTTTATGCGAAAGCTGTCAGGATGCTATCCTGAACAATTCGGTCTTCTACATTGGCAACCAAAGGTTGGTGGAGAGTCGGATACCCAGTTTATTTTTTCCATGCTGAGCTGATCGTATTTTGTCTTTTGTTTTATTTTGAGGTGATCAGATGTTTGAATATCGTCGTCCCGCTCGGTGGTGTCCATTCCTGATTTGCAGCAACTACACTGTTTCAGGCTCAGTGGAACTCATGCATTCGATGGTGAATACATTTTTTTTCAGATTTTGTCCCATGGAGGTCTACCTGGACGCTCCATGATTCTTGAGAGGGATGAGGGCTCCGACGGATGGATCGCCTTTGAAGGCATTTATGACTCTGTCAAGTATGAATTCGACAGGCTCCGAGTTTGTTTCAAGTGTCCTGATGTTGGAGCATTGGATGATGGTTCGTTTCAGGGATGGTTTGTTAACAGAGCTGCCGATGGAGCTGAGCCCGACTGGGGCACTGCAACGATGCGTTGTCTTTCCCATTGGGAACGTGAATGAAGCGTGTGATTGTTTTTTTTTCTGCTTGTAAATGTGTTCTCCGTGATTGTCAAAGCATATGATCTAAAGTTGTTTGTTGATGCAATGATTCCTTTTTTTGTTTCTCAGGTCAGTGATCGGGAACAATCCGTGATCTGGAATGAAACAACGCTTCCAATCATGCTGCAGCGCGAGTGTATTTGCTAAGTCAATGCACTATTGTCCGACTCAGGGATCTTCCTCTCGGTGACAAAATAAAGCCAATTATATTTCAGCGTTTTCAGATTGCCAGAATGGCATCGTTACCTTGTGTATTCCGCTTTTTTATTCGAATGTGTCAGTTGGAAACACTTCGTTTTGCAAGCAATGTTCTGTGCGTCGTTTTTTGCTTGCGATGCTGTTTTGTATATCAATTTTCGTAAATTTCAAACGCACATACTATCTTCATGCCCAACACTGCTATAGTCTCAACACTCCGGCTCTTCGTGGCACCGCCCTCTGAATGTGACAACGAACGGGGTGTTCAGCGATTCACATCGACATCGACTTGAGAAAAAGGGAACTCGGATATCGCAAAAATGATGAAATCTCGACAGAACACTTTCTCTTTGACAAAAAATCTATTCATTTGCAAAATTCTTTTTGAAAACAATCTCATCTCGCCATTAGAAATTTGGCCTAGCTGCTCTCCTTCTTCGGACTTCGTAGGAAACGTTTCCGCTATTTCTTCATGATGAAGATCTTGTGTGGCTTCTGCTTGAACGTCAAGGTCAACGAAGCAACGAGTCCAATCCTGGCAATGGGATGTGACAACAAACGGGTCGATCAACGATACCCTAGACCTGTCAGGAGGCTATCCTTTCCGATTGAATCTTCTACATCGGAAATTTTGAGAGCCATCATTGAAGGGGGGCAGCCACTTTATCTTTATGATTTTCGGTCCTTTCTCTGCAAGAGACTTCTTTGGTATGAACTATGATGTCCTAATATTGAGGCTGGCCATCTTTCACCTAGGAGATATTCCTATAGAGGCGACATAAGATTTGAAATGCTATCGCAAAGAGACGCTGTGAAAAGAGAGAGGCCAAGTCAAGACTTGCATCCACAGGAAAGGAGTCCATTCTTTTCATCACAATATTTCCCCAAGTACATTTCTCAATGAGGCCGGAGTCTCAATCTTGGTGAAAGTTATTTTGCTATATTAGTATCGTCGTAGAATTTCTTTGCAGGAAATGCGGAAGCTCGACAGAATACGTCGCAAAAGGTGATATGGATATGACGAAAAGCTTGTTCATGAACTTTTCGTCAAGAAGTCGACATTGAAAGCGAATGACATTCCAGGTACTTTGCCACATGTGATGCTGCTCCAACACAACAACAGGGACTTTCACAGAACGATATTGTGACATCTGAGGAACATGGATGTTTGTGCGTGCAAGGGATTGAGCACGATGATTACCCGGTGTTCCGAGCCGCAGGTCAGACTGGATCATTTGTATTTATCTAAGAATGGGTCTGCCAGTGCTTGGCTTCCCGTGATCAGCTTCGTCTGTGATCGGGTTGCCTGGCGCTGGTTTTCCTTTGCTATACGTCGAATATATTATATTGAATATATGTTTTTTTTGACAGAACGCGTTTGTGACTGAACGGTCAATTCTCATATAAAGGCCACCTTGATGTCGTCAAACTTGATCGTGTTGACGTCTGGCTGGAACAGCAGGAGTCCTCAGAGGAGTTTGGGCTGATCCAGATCTTTGCGCTGAAAAAAGAAAATCTAATGTATTGATAGGAAGAAAAAAGAATGGGTTTGTTGTTTCTGGGCTTCCCGTGATCAGTCTTGTCTGTGATCGGGTTGCCTGGAACAGCTTTCCCTGAGAAATTAATTGAAAGAGTTTTCAAGCAACAATATCAACCAAGTAATTGTTTTGCTTGATATTGCTGTGATCTTCAAAATGATCAGCGCAGGCAACAGGAGAAGCAAAAAGCACAAAATAACTTTCCGAACCGGTGTCTGCCAGAAGGTTTGGCAATTCAGGATGGAATACCGCTGAAAAATGGTGCTGGTGGTTTCCGCTAGATCAAGGCACATGGATGCCCCGCTTCGGGTTTCCTCTGGAGTGCGTGTGCCCTGCGTTGAGCAGTGCGGGAAAAAACGGCTTCAGAGCAAAGAGTTGTCGAAAGTTTCGAAATGGGGAGGAAGGATCGAACGGAACAGAAGTTAAAACGAACGAAGGGAAGTGCGAAAGACGTCAACATTGATGAGACATCCATGGTTAAATGGTTCTGGAAGAGATTGCTTTGCAGAAGAAATAAGCAAATGAATGGATTTTTTTGTCAAAGAGAAAGTGCTCTGTCGAGATTTCATCATTTTTTTGCGATATCCGAGTTCCCGTTTTTAATGTGGCGTTTTGTTCGACAACGAGTGTTGAAGTTTGCGTTCGCTTGGAGCGCAGATTTTGCAAGCCGATATCGATGTGAATTGTGAATGCACTTCTATCAGGGACCTGTTAAGTTGGGCTTGCAGCTTTGTCGGATTTGCGGAATTGTCAGATGCTCAGATAAAAGTCAACTGGCTCTCGTATGCAGTGATGTATTTATTTTTTTATCCTCTGCAGCAGCTGAAGTTGTCTTTGCGCTATCTTGGACACATAAGTTGGAGAATATTGTTATACACTCGCATTCCATTGAACCTTCCGAACGAGGTCCTTGAGTCTGATTCTTCTCTTTTGACGCAATTCCTGAAGTGTCGGACTCTCAGATCAGTGCAAGTTGTCTACAGGATTGGTTATCTTCTGTTTTTTTTTCAATTTTGACACATTTTGTTTTTTTTATCCAGAGCTTAGGGTTTACCCTGAGAGAATCATGGCAGAAATTTGAGCAGCGCTCCCGCTGAGGGGGGCCGACCCCCATCGCGAAAAGGTTCTTTTACTTGGTGAGGTTGCTGGAAATTGATGCTGATCCGTTTTCTTGTTCGTGATCGGTCCGTCCGTGATCGGGTTATTGAAACCGAAGTTTGGCTCATTTCAGTTGGCTCATTTCAGTTGCCTTTTCGAAGCACTTACCGCCTCGACACCTCTATTGTTTCATTCTTCAATGGCATTGGTGCCTTTCATTGCTGATCATTCTCTCCAAGAAATGCTTTGGCAGTTGATGTTAGCAGATCGCAATCTGCATGTAGCAAACGAAGTCCTCAATACCTTACTCGAGATTGAAGAATACTTAGAAGATTGTGCTGCACCAGTTGCGCTAGCGACATTGAGGTCGACCATTACCTGCCATCGTCGAACCATTTATCAGTTAGCCATTTGGAAGCTTCAAAAGCTGATGGAATGCCAACGAGCTTTGAATGAGCATTTCCTGTGTTACCACCGTGCACCGCTTGTTGATCTTGAATTGTGAAAGTGAAGTCTTTCACAGCTTTGGGCTATGAAGAAATGTAGCCTATCCCTGGCTGCTGGCCAGCACGTAGTCGGATAGCCTTTTTTGTTTCCTGTTTTGCTTTAATGGTCCTTGATTCTTATGTTTCTCTTTTGATTCGATTTCTCCAAGTGTCAGATTCTCAGATAAGTACAAGTTGTCTACAGGCGTGGTCGTTTGTTTTTTTTGGTGGATTTTGGCACAAAAAGGTTTTTTTTGTTTATCTAGAGTTTAGGGTTTAGCCTTAAGGAATCATTTCAAAAATTTGGGCAGCGCTCCCGCTCAGGGGGGCCGACCCCCATTGCCAATGGTGAGATGAGATTGTTTCCAAAAGGAATTTAGTGAATGAGTGTAATTTTGGTGAAATAGAAATTGGTCTGTCGGGAATGCATCAATTTTGCGATATCCGAGTTCCTTTTTTTTATAGCCCAAAGATTTGAAACTGAGGTTATAGCTCAAAGACTTGAAACCGAGGTTTCTGAATGTGGCGTTTTGCTCGACAACGAGTGTTGAAGTCTGCATTCGCCTCGAGCGCAGATTTCGCAAGTCGATGTCGATGCGAATTGTGAATGTAAATCAATGAGGTCCGTTTATTCGGAAAAGAAACCTTTTCGGCTACGGCCTGGTGGCTCTTCTGGCGCAAAGATTTGTTTCAGAGTAGTTAGCAGGCCCCAGTTGGGGAGGTAGGGAGGGTGGGCCAGGCTGCTCAAGCCAGCAGCTTGGAAAGAGACCGCTCAGGTCTCCGACGCAGGACGTTTGCGTCGACATGCATCAACGCTTTAATTTTGATAACATGCCACAGGTTTTTTTTGTCATGCCTATTGGAGCCCTCGATCAGCCATTGTTTTCGGCCGATGCGCTCGGGTGAGACTTCCCAGCAGGCAGTTTCTGCGAGGATTTTCACTGTGAATCTTCAATGCGATCTCATCGTCCGTTTCATTTGAGTTGCTTGCGGGTCATTCTCAGGTCCTGTGGCTGGACAATCCTACTACAGTCCCTGTGTTTGACCCGAATATATTTGTTTCATGTTTCCTTCGATGGATGACTGGTGTGCTTCCATGTCTCCATCCTTGTGGCTTTTATTTTTATTATCAAGATGATGATTTTCCCAATGCATGTCGGAGATCGGGTGTGTCCGTGATCCCTTTTCCATTGCCAGGGAAACTTTTCTGTATTCTGCAGTTTTATTCGAATGCTCCAGTTGGAAGAAACATTGTTATGCAAGCAATGTGCTCAGTGTGTTGTTTGCTTGTGACTTTGTTTTGTATCTGCTGTTCCAAATGTAGATAATTTCTGCATCTTTATCCTTCCTATAGTCTGAATATTTTGGCTCTTTGTGGCGCTGATCTGTGACTTGTGACGATGAACGGAGCGATCAATGATAATCTTGCAAAGGCACTCGGGCTCTTTTCTCTTTTTTCGTTTTTTACGCTAGACCTGTGAGGATGCTATGAGGAAGAATTCAATCTTCTACATTGGAAACCAAAGGTTGCAGGAGAGTCCGATTCCCAGTTTATTTTTGAAAGCCCAGCTCATCGTTTTGTTTGTTTTTTTTTGAGGTCAACAGATGTTCGAATATCGTCGTCCCTCTTCGTGGTGTCCATTCCTGATTTGCACACAGTACACTGTTTCAGGCTCAGCTGAAATCATGCATTGGATTGTGAGTACATTTGTCATTTAGAGTTTGCCTCATGGAGGTCGAGCCGGACATGCAATGATCCTTGAGAGGGATGAGCGTTCAGAGGGATGGGTCGCCTAGGAAGGCATGTTGAACCCTGAGAATTTTGAATTCGAAAGGCTCCGAGCATGCCTTAAGTGTCCTGAAGTTGGAGCACCGGACAATGGTTCCTATCAAGGATGGTTAGTTAACAGAGCTGTAGATGGAGCCGAGCCAGACTGGGGCGCTGCAATCATGCGTTGTCTTTGTTGTTGGGAACGTTAATGAAACGTGTTATTGTTTTTTTCTCTGCTTGTAAATGTTTTCTCCGTGATTGTGAAAACATATGATGCAAAGTAGTTTGCTGACGCAATGGCAATTATTTTTTTTTGTTTCGTGTCTCACGTCAGTGATCGGGAACACTCTGTGATCTGGAATGAAACAACGCTTCCGGTCATGCTTCAGCGCGAGTGTATTTGCTAAGTCAATGCACCACAATCCGACTCAGGGATCTTCCTCCGGGTGGCCAAATAGTGTCAATTATATTTCTGAGTTTCGAAATCGAATGAGCAGCACTCTCTAGTATTCAAGTGATGCACTTCACGAGACCACATCACATGACATGATTACGTGTTATTCATTCTGGCTCCCCAGCTTCTATCAGCGACCTGTTAAGTTGGGCTTTGAGTTTTGTCGGAATTGCGGCATTGTCGGATTCTCAGATAAAGGTCAGCCGACTCTCGTATGCAGTGATTTATTTATTTTTTCATCCGCTTCAGCAGCTGAAGTCGTCTTTCCGCTGTCCTCGACATTGAAGTTGGAGTATATTGCTTATACACTCGCATTCCATGGAACCTTTCTGAACGAGGGCCTTGAGTCTGATTCTTCTCCTTTGACGCAATTGCTGAAGTGTCAGATTCTCAGAGAAGTGAGTTGTCTACAGGATTGGTTATCTTCCCCTTTTTTTTGCAGATTTTAGCACAACATTGTTCTTTTTATCCAGAGTTTAGGGTTTAGCCTTAGAGAATCATGCCAAAAATTTGGGCAGCGCTGCCGCTGAGGGGGGCCGACCCCCATCGCGAAAAGTTTCTTCTTCTTGTTGAGGTTGTTGCGACAATGAACGGCGCTATCGGCGATTTGATTGCACAGGCACTTGGTTTTCTTTATTTTATTTTATGAGCGATGAATTTTCGCCAGATCTGTCAGGAGTCTATCCTGCGCGACTCAGTCTTCTACATTGGAAACGAAAAATTGGTGAAGAGTCGGATCCCCAAGTTTTGTTTTTGAAAGCCGAGCTCATCGTTTTGTTTCTTTATTTTGTTTTTTTGAGGTCAGCAGATGTTTGAATATCGTCGTCCCTCTTCGTGGTGTCCATTCCTGATTTGCACACAGTGCACTGTTTCAGGCTCAGCTGAAATCATGCATTCGATTGTGAATACATTTTTCATTTAGATTTTGCTTCATGGAGGTCAAGCTGGACACGCAATGATCATTGAGAGGGATGAGGGCTCCGACGGATGGATCGCCTATGAAGGCAGATGGAACCCTGAGAATTATGAATTCGACAGGCTGAGGGCATGTTTTAAGTGCCCCGAACGTGGAGCACTTGACAACGGCTCGTATCAAGAATGGTATGTTAATGCAGCTCCGATTGGAGCCGCCCCTAACTGGGGGACTTCGACCATGCGTTGCCTTTCCAAGTGGGAATGTGAATGATACGTGTTATTTTTGTTGGGTCTGGTTGCAAATGTTTCCTCCGTGATTGTGAAAGCATATGATCTAAAGTTTTTTCTGATGCAATGATTTGTTTTTTTTCGTTTCTCAGGTCAGTGATCGGGAACACTCCGTGATCTGGAATGAAACAACGCTTCGAATCATGCTTCAGCGTGAGTGTATTTGCTAAGTCAATGCACCACAGTCCGACGCACGGATCTTCCTCCAGGTGGCCAAATAGTGTCAATTATATTTCTGAGTTTCGAAATCGAATGAGCAGCACTCTCTAGTATTCAAGTGATGCACTTCACGAGACCACATCACATGACATGATTACGTGTTATTCATTCTGGCTCCCCAGCTTCTATTAGCGACCTGTTAAGTTGGGCTTTGAGTTTTGTCGGAATTGCGGAAGTGTCGGATTCTCAGATAAAGGTCAGCCGACTCTCGTATGCAGTGATTTATTTATTTTTTCATCCGCTTCAGCAGCTGAAGTCGTCTTTGCGCTATCCTGGACATTGAAGTTGGAGTATATTGCTTATACACTCGCATTCCATGGAACCTTTCTGAACGAGGGCCTTGAGTCTGATTCTTCTCCTTTGACGCAATTGCTGAAGTGTCAGATTCTCAGAGAAGTGAGTTGTCTACAGGATTGGTTATCTTCTCCTTTTTTTTGCAGATTTTAGCACAACATTGTTCTTTTTATCCAGAGTTTAGGGTTTAGCCTTAGAGAATCATGCCAAAAATTTGGGCAGCGCTCCCGCTGAGGGGGGCCGACCCCCATCGCGAAAAGTTTCTTTTAGTTGTTGAGGTTGTTGTGAGAATGAACGGTGCGATCAGCGATTTTATTGCAGAGGCACTTGGTTTTCTTTATTTTATTTTAGCAGCGATGAATTTTCGCCAGATCTGTCAGGAGTCTATCCTTCGAGATTCAGTGTTCTACATTGGAAACGAAAAATTGGTGAAGAGTCCGATCCCCAAGTTTTGTTTTTGAAGGCCGAGCTTATCGTTTTGTCTTTTTATTTTGCTTTTTTGAGGTCAGCAGATGTTTGAATATCGTCGTCCCGCTTCGTGGTGTCCATTCCTGATTTGCACACAGTGCACTGTTTCAGGCGCAGCTGAACTCATGCATTCGATTGTGAACACATTTTTCATTTAGTTTTTGCTTCATGGAGGTCGAGCTGGACACGCAATGATCATTGAGAGGGATGAGGGTTCCGACGGATGGATCGCCTATGAAGGCAGATGGAACCCTGAGACTTTTGAATTCGAAAGGTTGAGAGCATGCTTTAAGTGCCCGGAACGTGGAGCACTTGACAACGGCTCCTATCAAGGATGGTATGTTAATGCAGCTCCGATTGGAGCCGCCCCTAACTGGGGGACTTCGACAATGCGTTGTCTTTCCAAGTGGGAACGTGAATGATACGTGTTATTTTTGTTGGGTCTGGTTGCAAATGTTTCCTCCGTGATTGTGAAAGCAGATGATCTAAAGTTTTTTGCTGCTGCAATGATTTGTTTCTTTTTTCGTTTCTCAGGTCAGTGATCGGGAACACTCCGTGATCTGGAATGAAACAACGCTTCGAATTATGCTTCAGCGTGAGTGTATTTGCTAAGTCAATGCACCACAGTCCGACGCACGGATCTTCCTCCGGGTGGCCAAATAATGCCAATTATATGTCAGAGTTTCCAGATGGGATGAACAGCATTCGCTAGTATTCAAGCGATGCACGTCACGATGCCACATCACATGACATGATTACGTGTTATTCATTCTGGCTCCCCAGCTTCTATTAGCGACCTGTTAAGTTGGGCTTTGAGTTTTGTCGGAATTGCGGAAGTGTCGGATTCTCAGATAAAGGTCAGCCGACTCTCGTCGTATGCAGTGATTTATTTATTTTTTCATCCGCTTCAGCAGCTGAAGTCGTCTTTGCGCCATCCTGGACATTGAAGTTGGAGTATATTGCTTATACACTCGCATTCCATGGAACCTTTCTGAACGAGGGCCTTGAGTCTGATTCTTCTCCTTTGACGCAATTGCTGAAGTGTCAGATTCTCAGAGAAGTGAGTTGTCTACAGGATTGGTTATCTTCTCCTTTTTTTTGCAGATTTTAGCACAACATTGTTCTTTTTATCCAGAGTTTAGGGTTTAGCCTTAGAGAATCATGCCAAAAATTTGGGCAGCGCTCCCGCTGAGGGGGGCCGACCCCCATCGCGAAAAGTTTCTTTTAGTTGTTGAGGTTGTTGTGAGAATGAACGGTGCGATCAGCGATTTTATTGCAGAGGCACTTGGTTTTCTTTATTTTATTTTAGCAGCGATGAATTTTCGCCAGATCTGTCAGGAGTCTATCCTTCGAGATTCAGTGTTCTACATTGGAAACGAAAAATTGGTGAAGAGTCCGATCCCCAAGTTTTGTTTTTGAAGGCCGAGCTTATCGTTTTGTCTTTTTATTTTGCTTTTTTGAGGTCAGCAGATGTTTGAATATCGTCGTCCCGCTTCGTGGTGTCCATTCCTGATTTGCACACAGTGCACTGTTTCAGGCGCAGCTGAACTCATGCATTCGATTGTGAACACATTTTTCATTTAGTTTTTGCTTCATGGAGGTCGAGCTGGACACGCAATGATCATTGAGAGGGATGAGGGTTCCGACGGATGGATCGCCTATGAAGGCAAGTGGAACCCTGAGACTTTTGAATTCGAAAGGTTGAGAGCATGCTTTAAGTGCCCGGACCGTTGGGCACTGGATAACGGCTCCTATCAAGGATGGTTTGTTAACGGAGCTCGACGTGGAGCAGACCCCAATTGGGGCACTTCGACAATGCGTTGTCTTTCCAAGTGGGAACGTGAATGATACGTGTTATTTTTGTTGTCTCTGGTTGCAAATGTTTCCTCCGTGATTGTGAAAGCAGATGATCTAAAGTTTTTTGCTGCTGCAATGATTTGTTTCTTTTTTCGTTTCTCAGGTCAGTGATCGGGAACACTCCGTGATCTGGAATGAAACAACGCTTCGAATTATGCTTCAGCGTGAGTGCATTTGCTAAGTCAATGCACCACAGTCCGACTCACGGATCTTCCTCCGGGTGGCCAAATAATGCCAATTATATTTGAGAGTGTCCAAATCGGATGAACAGCATTCGCTAGTATTCAAGCGATGCACGTCACGATGCCACATCACATGACATGATTACGTCTTATTCATTCTGGCTCCCCAGCTTCTATTAGCGACCTGTTAAGTTGAGCTTTCAGTTTTGTGGGAATTGCGGAAGTGTCAGATTCTCAGATAAAGGTCAGCCGACTCGCGTATGCAGTGATTTCTTTATTTTTTCATCCCTTTCAGCAGCTGAAGTCGTCTTTGCGCTATCCTGGACATTGAAGTTGGAGTATATTGCTTATACACTCGCATTCCATGGAACCTTTCTGAACGAGGGCCTTGAGTTTGATTCTTCTGCTTCAACACCATTCCTGAAGTGTCAGATTCTCAGATAAGTGCAAATTGTCTACAGGATTGGTTACTTCTTTTTTATGCAGATTTTGGCACAACAGAGTTCTTTTTATCCAGAGTTTAGGGTTTAGCCTCAGAGAATCATGCCGGAAATTTGGGCAGCGCTCCCGCTGAGGGGGGCCGACCCCCATCGCAAAAAGTTTCTTTTACTTGGTGAGGTTGCTGGAAGTTGAGTCTGATGCGTTTTCTTGTTCGTGATCGGTCTGTCCGTGATCGGGTTATTGAAACAGAAGTTTTATTGCTTGATCCAGGCTCTAATGTTTGATTTGTCTAGAGTATAGACAGATCAAACAGTAGAGCCTTGGTGGAACCAAATTGGGTGGTACCATCAAGGAGGTTGGGTGGTTGGGGAGACCCATGTTGGGTTTTCATTGCAAGGACATATTGTTCTTGATTCTGCGTCGCCTCGACGGTCTGCCCGGTCGAGCCCTGGCTCTGCCCGAATGGGTTTGGCCGCGTCTCACGGGTGGATCCGAGGTACGTGTGCCATGCGCAGAGCCATTCCTTACATCCTATGTTCAGCATCAGTTTTAACATCCTGCATCAACGCGTCTTCTGGATCAGTTTGAGCATCATGCATCTGAAGGCGCTCGTGTGTTCTTCAGATCCATGGAATTCAAGCTGACTGAGAAGCTGAGTTTAAGTATGGTGATGCGTGTACTTCCAATGCCTATCAGTGTTATGAAGAAAATGTTTGCTTTTCTCCCGCGCAACCTTGCTTGGCACTCCTTTTCTGTTGTCATGAGGTCGGATGTTGGTGGAATATGCACTGTTGAAAGAAATTCTTATGATTTTGCTTGCTTGTGCTCAAGAGAAGAGAGAGTGTTCATCTTCGAAATCTATAGGTCGAGCGAGTTTCCCAACATTTTATCAGCTGTTCCACTCCAATAATTTTGTCTTGCTTTGTTTTTACGATTAGCAAGCAAAATACATTTTCAGCTCCTGTCCTGGCAATGGATGGAAACACTGTTGGTGGGAATAGCCTTTGTGCCAATTGTGGTTGGCGATGGAACAAATGTATTGCCACAAGAGAGGAGTTCAAGAAAGTTCATTTCATGAACTGGGTGAAACAATATGACCGACCTTTGTGTTGGCTTTGTGCCCAAGTTTGCCCTTTTTTACAAGATGGACAAAAGGATCCGAACGGATTGATCCGACAGTTTGAGTCTTCCTGGGCAACGGCCCGACAATATCGAAGGCTAAAGATGCTGCCACCATGTGACCCTCTTTTTAGCCTAGAGGCGGAGCGAGATTCTGTGTCTCCTGAGATTTGGCGTGATCCCTTTTCGCCGAGAAATGAAAGAACAACATCGACTTCTAACATCTTTGCAGGTATGATCGCAGAAGCTCAGAGGTTGAGGTGTGACATGATGTCACTGAGGACCAGGCTCGATCAAATTTGCCTTGAGTATGGTCGACAGATTTTGTCAAAAAAGAATGAAGAATGTGTTTTCACAAATGAAGAAGCAAGTAATGCAGCATCTTCTTCCGACCGAGGGCAGAATCGTTGGTCAACGCAACAAGATCGACAATCAAGAAGCGGCAATTTCCCGTTGCATCCGCTGCCAACAGTGCATGAATCTGAAAATAGATCGAATGACCAGAACATGTCACATGAATCTGGAAGCTGGACCGAAGACAGTTCTTGGAGAGATTCATCGTCATGGCGGCAAAACAACCGATGGCAATCCTGGAATTCAAACGGAGGTTACTCCTCCCAGGATACTTGGGATGAAACTGAAGGTGAGGGATCATGGAACCGTTCCTATAGAAGGCCACACTATGTTGAAACTTTGCAGAGCTCGAATAATAGCAATGCGAGACAGGCACGACCTCCTCGTGTAGTTTGGGATCCTCCTCCTGCCAATTCTGGTCGTTGATGGCAGAAGGCTGTTCATGTTCAAATGCAAAACTTCAAAAGATTCATTGCTTGCATGGACACAATTTGTGTCTTTTTCTTTTCAACCACAAGAGGTTCGGTCCGAGCAGAATGGAATGTCCGTGATCGGGTAAGTTCGTGATCGGCAGATTTTCCCAGTGAATGCAGACTTGAAATCATCATCACGTTTCAGTAAAGCTGTACTGTGAATGGTGGAGAATTCAGTGAATGTGAAAAAGTGACTTCTGTGCATCTGTGTCAAAAGAGGGGAGGTTCAGAATGTTGATGTGCTTTTAACATTGGAGTTGATACGTATATTTTCTTCTTAATAGTTGAAGCTTTATCAAAATGTTTTGTATAGATTTTTATGAATTAAGTTGAAACGATGATGCCGTTTCCATATGATGCATAAGCTTCCTCTGATCATTTTACTCGCTAACATTATGGCTCCAGATTTTTCACAGAAAACGTTATCCGCGAGGGTGATTTTTATTCTTTTTGATGGACGTGCGTGTTTGGTCCATTTTCTCTGGCGAATTATTGAGCAGAATTGCTTTGGAAGCTGGCCCTGGTGTTACTGGAGCAGACATCAAAAAAATACTCTCTGACCAGCTGGGAATCAATAGGTTCAGACAAGTGTTGTATTCGAAGGATGGAACACAGATTCTAAATGGAGAAGTCTTAAACCAAATTGAGCATGATGTGCATTTGCTGGTCGAAGGAACCGGGCACGTTTCGTGCAACGAGTCCCAGCGAAGTCAAATGGTTGAAGCTTCTTCGGCTAATAAACTGCAGATCCTGGAACTGCTATTGTACGAGCATCTTGATCCAAACACTACAGACGCATATGGCAGAACCCTACTAGAATTGGCAGCTGGCGGAGATCATCTGGACGTAGGCAATCTTTTATTGGAGGCTGGTGCTGAAGCAGAGACGAAATCAGCCATAAGCACTCCTCTTTTGACAGCCACTAGAATGGGCAACACCGAATTCGTGAACCTTCTGTTGCAGGCTAATGCAAATCCTAATCGTTGCTACTGTGTTCGACCTGGATTTCAAAAATGTTGGACACCTTTGATTTGTGCTGTTCGCCACGACGTGGATTACGATTACAGACACGCAACTATCGTTCCCATGCTCATTAAAGCGGGAGCAGACGTGAACTACAGCTGTGATAGCATGCCACCCTTGGTTGCTGCAGTCGAGCAGTCGAGTTATCACATCATGTGGTACCTGCTTCAAGCTCAGGCAAATCCGAATGTCACGAATCGCAATTTGAAGCCAGTTTTGCATATTGCCGTCAAAAGAAACGATCCTACTGCTGTGGAAATGTTGCTTCAGAACTCTGCTGATATAGAATTGAGAGATGCTCAGAATCGATCAGCCGAGCAGCTTGCAGCCAGTGCTGCTTTGAGAGAAATGCAAGGAATGCTTTCTCGTAGACATTTGCGGCAACATCATTAGGAATGAAATCATTCCGTACAGAAGAAAATTGCTCAAGCTTCAGTGGAAAAACAAAACTCTAAGTAATGCGATAGTCGGAATTCTTCTAAGTCCGATAGAAGTTCTTTCTGAGGACGATGAACGCATTTCGTTGCTGAATGATAAGTTAACAATTTCTGTTTCACAATGCTTGTTGTTGTTTCATTGGAATTTGCTTGTTTCGGGTCAAGTCAGCTCTACAAGCTGTGCCTAAGGATCAGACAGATAGACATAATGCATAGGCAGATCAATTTCATATTTTTCAGTGTATTATGAACCCAAAGGGATCAGAGCTTTATCAAATAGAAATGGACAAACATGTATCAAGGTCAGCTGTTGTAGAAACCTTTCTATCAGCTATGGTTAGAACCAATGCGCAATGTTAGACAATATATCTCATTCAAGGTATTTTTCTCATTCTGTGGCAATGTCGTGGCAGAGTCCGTGATCGGGTGTGTTCGTGATCGGAGCATGAATCTGTCAACGGCAGATGGAGGCCAATGCGCTAATTGTCGTTGGACATGGGAAGTACCACTTTATACCAAAAGGGACTACGATGGTACAGATTTCTTCGTTTGGCACAAAAATCGAGACAGGTACTTGTGCTATCTGTGCGCGCAGTCATGCCCAGATTTGCACGAGAAAAATCCAAAGAGTTTGCGTTACACCAGTTATCAAGAATGTCATGAGTACCGCAGGAACCACATGAAGCCACCGCCTGACCAAAATGGTGACACCTGGGACAAACATTTCCGTGAGTTTTGGCAAGATCCTTGGGGATTGGATGAAACAGCTTCAGTGGCAAATGTTTCAGATTCGAATGCTTTGCAAACTGGAATTGCACAATTGGAGAGTGTTCTGAGTGAGCTACAGTCAGAGCTTTTTGCTCTCTCTGAAAAGTTAGAAAGCTTCAAACAAACAATCAGGCTGACGAGCGCCACTCAAATTTAATTTCCTGACTCTTTCACAGAGTAATCCACTTAATGTGGTGCTTGGGACTGTGCATGCTATTCTTGGTGCGTCTGTTGATTTTCACCAAGGCTCATATGCAGATAAGAGCAATTTGCAGATACTGGTCTGTGCTGTCAAAAAAACAGATGCTAGCCACGTCATTGCTTTACATCGTCGTTGTCAATTTAGGATTATCATCTCTTAAATGTGATTTGCATTCAGTTTTTTCTCTATGGCAATTTTGTTTTGAACATCTCCAAGTGTTTTGATTTTTGTTTTCCTAGATAGGTCGAATCATAAGGCACGAGACATTGGTCATGATGGAAACATCAAGCGGCAATCGCATTTGAAGTCGCTGTCTCGGCTCGAGTTTGCCATTTGTGTTTGAGCTTTTGAAATGCTCATTCGTGGTTACAAGAGAACTTTTCGTGACTTCAGTACTGCAGAGAACAAGACGAGGAAAAGACGCGATTGCAATGCTTGGTCTAACCACATGGATGATATCAATTCGGATGACAATCGTTCAGAGGAAGATTGGAAATCAGACAATCCCGAAGAAGATTTGCAGCAAATCAGTGCCAAACACTACATGACAGACGAACTTGCTTCCAGATGGTACAGAATGATGTTGAAGACAGTCGAGCTTCTGACAGATGATTGTCTTGCAGTTCTGCCTTCTTACTTTGGAGGACCCAGACAAGCTCGTTTATCTCGTGAGATCGAATTGACATCTGTGGTTCAGAAGCTGCAAGATTTGAGCTCCGACATTGTCGACATGTGCAACGATAAATTACTTTCAAAAAAACAGTCTGAGGCATTGACTGAAAGAATCCGCAAAAAACGCAAACTTCTGAAAGGCCTGCTGTTCTTGGACTCGCTTCTATTTTTGGAAAGTACATTCGAAGGAGTTTTTCTGTCATGTTTTAGCTCTCCGAGTATACCGAGGTCTTCTATACGCAATTATATGAAGCGTTTCAGCATGAATTTAAACACCTTGCAGACTTTATTGGAAAACGGCTGTCTCCTTGAGAGTGAGATCGTGCAGCGTGGATGGCTCGTTCTCAATTTCGATGCAATGCCGGATGAGGTGTTTGCAGAGATGATCGAAAATAAACAACGGGAGCCCACTTATGTTGCTCTCAAAGATATGTTTAGAATACATTTTCTGGATGTTCCTCTATTAGCTGCAGAGGCAGGGCACGATGTGTGTCTACGCTTCAATTTCATTCCCAACGCATTACAAGAAGTTGTGAAGCAAGCCAAAGAGCGCGGTTCGCACACTCCAGAAACGCGTGTATATTCTTGGTTGCTCCAATTAATTGATTTCGAGAACGAGAGAAAGAGCAGGATTCGAGTGCATGATGAAGAAGAATTAAAAATTGCAATTTGGGGATTTCCATATGACAATTCAATGGCTCACAAGAACCGTATGGCATTGGACAACTACTAAATAGTGGCTGTCTTTTGTTAGCGTTTTTAGAACACGACTGCCTGACAAAACAAAGAGCCCTGCTGTTTTATCAGTCATGATGTTTACTTGTTGTCACAGCACCATTTACATATTCACCTGTCGTTTACATTTTATGTCAAGCTGTGCTAGTCACATTGTCAAAATCGACAAGGGAAACGATGAGAAACAACAATGCAGACATCTACTGCTGATTCCTGCACTGTCAGTTGATCCGTGATCGGGATCGTTCGTGATCGGGTAGTAAACTGACTTTGCTATGATTAATTGAGTTTAGTGGCTTGTGCATAAATCTATTGAACAATTTCATTAGCATTTGCTTTAGCTTGTTTGCTAACCTCTCTCGAAATGGCAATGCCTCTCGCTTGGCCTGAAATTGCTCATACAGCAGAAGATGTGCTGCAGTTCTGCAAGATGATTGGCAGAGGAAGTAACTACACTCAGATTGATGATCTGTCACGGAATTTGGAAAAGGGGTCTACAACACACTCTTGTTTGTTCCAGATGAGCAGCTCAAGTCCGACAGACATCTTGAACGAGATTCCGATGCTTGGCCAACAAGTTTTTGACATGAAGCTGGACGAAGAGAGAAAAGTCAACCCTCACAATCCTTGGAAAACTGTGCAGATCAGCAACAACAGGGTGGTGTATTATGAAAGTGCCTCCATAAACAGAGGATCGTGTCAATGTATATTTTCCTTTGGAGGCGAGAACAAGCAGGAAAGAGTTCGTACTACCTATGCTGCACGACATTCGATGCAGGGATTGGCCATACAGCAGTTCTTTGAAAAACATTTCCTTCAAGACAATGCGTCTTCTTGGTATAGCCGATCTGGAAGTTTCTCGACAGTAATTTGGGTCTATTTGCTTATGTATGTATAATGTTTCTTATTATTCTTATTTTTTAAGACAAAGGCATCATTATAATTTAATCTTTTGGTCCGGCTGAGGTTTTCATTTGCTGATCAACCGCTACACGTACAACAAGAATCATGGAATCTCTTTTCACGATGACATTAAAGAAGGATATGATGTGGACAAAGATCCCATTACTTCTTTCTCCTGCCGACTCGGGTCTTTGCTGGTTATCATCTCCAGCACAGCACCAGAGAAACAAGAGAAGACCGAGGGCAAACGTGCGTTTGTTGTGTATCAGCCTCCGGGAACAATTCTTGTGATGGGCGGCAAGTTTCAGAGAGCTTACAAACATGGTGTACCAAGTTTTCGGGAGATCAAAGAGCTTCTTGCTTGTGCAGACGACTTGACTACTTGGGACGGTGTGAAACTAAAATTGGAGTGGTTTTCGAATTCGAAAGACTTGATGCGACAGGAAGTTAGACGTATTGACTCCTTGAATCTGGTCAACGAGCAAGACGCACGTTGGAACGTCACAATGCGATGGGTGAGAAATCATTCACAGCCTTTCTGTCCTCTAAATCCCCGACTCTTGGCAAATATCAGTCGACTGGATGAAGAAAATCATCAGCGGAGGAATCAGCTGAAGCAGCTGAAACTGTTGAACCCGGTATTGCAGAAAAAACTGCAGAGCCAAAGGCAAAGGCCGCTAGCCCGGCATTTGCTTGGAACCCGCCCGGAGGAAACAGAGCTCGTCCAAGCAAAAGCGGAACACAGGATGTGAATCCGGGGAGGGAAACCGAGGAGAAAGAATCGGAGAAAGATTCAGAAAAGGAGTTAAATGAGATATTTGACTTCGTTTCTATTATTTCTGATGCCCTGGAGCTGCAGATATTATCAGACGATCAGATGATTGGCATGGCATTGTGTGGCAGCCAGCAAATTCGCAAACATCGTTTCTCCACATTTCAGAAACAGTACAATCTTGGTTACAATTTGTACAACAAGATTTCGGCAGCCAATATGAAAGTGAAAGAGGATTTAGACCCGTTACTCGAGGCCGTAGATCGGAAACTGAGGAGATTGAAAAACTTGCAGATGCTTATTGAGCTTTTGTGGTTGGACAGCGAAGGTCAGGGCAATTTCATGAGCTGTACTACTCTGAACCAGCAGCACGAGTTCAACAAGTCAAATGATCATCTGAATCGGGTTGTGATGTCCCTCTTTGACTTGAACGAATGCTTGCCTGTGGACGGCTTTTTGAGCTGGGATCACATGATTGATGAAGGATGGCTGGTGTTCAATTTCGACACTTTACAGGACAATCGAAAACCCAAAGCGGAGGTAACAAAATCGAAGAAAGGTTCACCGGTCGTAGCTGATGTCACAATGACAGGGATCGTCAAAGTGAGCCAATTTGACATCCTGTATATCAAGAGAGAAAATATTTTGCCAGAGCAATTCCCTTTGCGAGTGACATTTCTTGCTGATGCATCAAAGAATGTTGCTGCAAAGTGCAAGGACAAGCAATCTTTGAGCAGTCAGGAACAATTGAAACTGTGGATGCAACAGCTGATGAACTTCGTCGCGGAATTGGAGGAAGAAAAAGGTTTCAGTCCACTTTTAGATCGAAAAGGATTCATGAAAACCTGCAAAATCGTACTGTGGACACTTCCTCTCTCTGACGCTCTGGAATATAAGAATAAGAAGCAAAAGAAAGCTTCGAATACTCGCGGTTGAGGTCATAAAATGCCTAGAAAGCCCAAAGACGTATTGTCTCACCGAATCAATCGTGATCTCTCCGAGAAAAATGCGCCTGGATTGTTGCGATTTGTGTGGTATATGAAATACGGCATTGTCTGGAAATAGTGTTGTCCTTGGTTTACATGATCTTGTTTTCATCATGTATGGCAACTAGATAGATATTATACTCAACTTGTCTCGTCTAAAATGTTTATATGTTTTTTCCACTGCAGCCTTTTCGAGTTTCATTCTTCTGAGAGTACTTCTGCCATGTCCGTTCAAGATCAAGCTTCCAAGAAGGAGGAGTTTGATTCGTGTAATTTATTCTGGTCACCCAATAGTAGTAGCATTTTTGCTATCATTTTATCATGAATTCTTCTTTTTTGTGATCAGTATGTTTTTTTGTTTTTTTTAACATCTTGGACATTTTTGTTTACTCACATGTTCAGCAGAACAAATGTAAACTCACATATGTATATATATTTATAAATATTTATCTATATATTCAAGGATATATAATGTTAATATAAAGTATCTTATTCGAAAAACTACGAACTAATTTTTTTCGTTCGTTTCTTTTACAATTCCATTACATCGTTAATTCGTTAAGTCGTTAAGTCCTTTTTTTTCTAAAGAGATATACGATTAAAAAAAACAACTTTACTGTTAATGACTTCATGAATTAATGCATTTTTATATGTATAAAAACAATATTGAGATTATATATCTTCTTACATAATATATATATAGTATTATTACCCTGTAGGAAATTCGACATCTGGAGAAGATCATCAACAACATGCGACAAAGGCTTTACAGAGCTTCAAAAAGACAAAAATGCTCATGGAATTCGACGGAGAGATCTCGCCTTGTTGCTGTGTCAATCTATGTGCAATCGAATTACTCTGATGAAACAGTGATGCAGTATCTACTCAAAAAGCGTGGCAAAAGATCAGTTGGGTACGACGAGAAAGCTGAGGACGATTGTCGTTTTTCTCCTATTCGTGACTGGTTTTTGAATGTTCCGTTCAACGTTCTTGAAGAGATTGCCTTGCATCCACTCTCCAAAAAAAATATTTGCATATTTCAAGAAGCCAGGCGCTTCATCACAGAGATGCAAACTTGTCTGTGGCTGGAGAAAGAGAACATGGAGAAGGGACGAACTGTATCGTCTCTGCAGCTGGTGCAATATTACTTTGACCAACTGAAGAGAAATGAACATGAGAGTTGTGACGACCAATGTCATCCGGTAGTAGTTGATTATCCACTTGAAAACAAGTCTGGAGGAAGAGGCATCAGGGTCGTGAATACGATGAGGAAGTGGTGCTGCAGATTTAAGAAGAGATGGCAAGTCAGACACGGTCAAATGATGGAACGCGAATTCATGCCTCCATCAGAACTCAAAGAAAAGGCTCGAACAAATAGTACATTTTTAGGTTCCTCTTTTATTTCTTTTTTTAGCTCAAATAAATAGAATCATTACATTGAAACCTTTGAAGCATAAAAATAGTAATATTTTGAAGCCGAATTCGGGCCTCAAAAGACTGAATGTAATTTGGCAGCAAACATGTTTTTGAATCATCATTCAGGTTCAAACCTTCTGGCAATGGTTCGATTATTTGTGCGAGCAAGCACGTCATGATGGCAAAGAAATTTGTCTCATCAACATCGATGAGACATCCATTCATCGATGTGCACTACGATCGAAGGGCTACGTGACCAAAAAAAAACAAATATGGGTCGACCTCCAGCTCGCTTTATCAATCGCAGTTTGAAACGTGGCACTGCAACACATGTGGCTGCAATCAGTCACCTGCCACAAATTCAGGCTTTACTGCCACAGTTCGTATTGTTAAACAAACGAACCTTTAGAGAGAAAGATATACCAGATAATGTCCCACCGGGATTGAGATTTATTCGTGACATATCAGGATGGAACACGGCTCAGAAAATGGTTGTGATATTGGAGAACATAGCAAAATCACTCATTTCGTGCACAAAAGATCATCAAATCATTATTTTGCTAGATGTAGCTCCATGTCACATTGATGCATCGGTGATTTCAGCTGCAAACAGACTGAATTTGTGGCTGATATATGTTCCTGCAAGGTTAACCTTCATGTTACAACCATTGGATGTTTCTTGTTTACAAGCGTACAAATCAGTTTTACATCAACTCTTTATGGAGAGGCAAGACAACGATGGCACCTTGCGAACCAAAGAATGGTTTAATGTATTGAGCAGCCTAAACAAGTTGTTTTGGCGAGGAAGGAATTGGAAAACAGCGTTTCACAACGTGGGACTGTTAGGCCAAGCCAAATCCATAAGTGATGAATTACGACAGCTTGGAGTTACTCGTCTAACAGACAGTCCTACAGCTTTGCCTTCCGAAACCCAATTGCAAGAAATCTGGCCTCGTCGAAAGACGATTCCATTCAAGTCATTATTCTGGTTACCAGCAAAGCTGAAACCAGTTGAAATCGATTGAATCGAGGTTTCAAAATGATATATTTTACCTAATATCATTAATTAATTCATAAAGCATTAAGTCTTTTTTTCTAAATAGAATACATCTAATAAAAAACAAAACTTAACGACTTAACGGCTTTACGAATTAACGAAGATTTTGAATATGTACGCAAAAGCCTCGATTCTGCAACAAAGTATTCAGCAAAGCTGAACGCGATCTAATGCTTTTAAATTGTAACCAAAAAGTTGCGAGAATGTTGTCGGACATGTGATGAATCTGTTCATATACTTGCCTTGTGTTTGCATTGCAACATGGCATGGTTACAATTCGCCACACAATCGGGGGAACAAAATCAAATGACAGAAATTTGGCTTACAGTTGATAGCTGCTTTTGGACCTCGCAGGCATCTCTCGACTCATTCTGTATGGCTAGTTCGGCAGCTGCGAAGCCACGAGCCCGTCCTCGCAAAGTCATTGCAATCCAAGACCTTGATGCACTAAAAGCCAAAAAGCAACAGCTAAAACAAGATCTCAAAGAGATGAATAAAACGGTGAAGGTGCAACAGCAGAAGAAAAGACGTCTCATGAAAGCTGCTCACAATTTGCACGATGAGGACCTTTTATGGCTTCTACGTGAACGTCAAACCCAACGAAGTGAAGACCCTAATTCTGCTGAGGATCAAAATGGAGATGCGGCTGAAGATTTATCGGCTGAGAATGTCGAGCCCAATGAGACAGTGAATAGTGAGGAACATGTGAACAGAACCAGTGACGGTGCTCAATCGAATGAGTGAGTGCTGGCAATCAAAGAATCTCCAGTCAGCTATCAAAGAGTAGTCAGCTTTGTCTTGCGTTACCTCTTTAAGTCTTCTCACATCAACTCCCAATGGACGATTGATGCACTTCTCTTGTCAGCAGAATCGATGATCGAGGATTGTTCGTGATTTGTCCGCAGAGAAGAGAAATGTTTTCTCTTGCTTTTCAAAACCAGAACTGAGTCGTCGCTTGCATGAATAGCAAAAAGATCTTGAGCGTTGCACTGCGTGTCATTAATCTCGTAACATTTGAATGGTTGTGAAAAAATATGCTATCTCGTGTACGACGTGTCTTTTGGCTTCAGGTCCTGAAATTTGAATGATTATGCTTAATATCCTCTTTTCCATTATTTGTTTTCCATTATTCACTCGTTCTACAATTATACAATTGTTTCGTAGGAACGTATTTCTCTTGCCTGCAGAGTCGAAGATCGGTTCGTCCGTGATTTGGTTGCAGACAAGAGACATAACACACTTTTTTGTTTCAAAAACAAACAGACATGCAGCAAACAATAATATTTGCAAAATATGCATTTCTTCGTAGAAAGACGTTTAAAACAAGAACTTGGAGCTTGTAGAACCTACAAACATGAGTCCAGCAGATGCCGGTTGCTTGATCTCTCTAATCAAAAACTTGGAGCTGCAATTATCACTGGGTGACGTGGAGGAACTGGTGAAGTTAATGAAAAACATCTCCAATGAGATCACCAGAGAGACTGGAGCCACTACAAAACCACGAAATTCAGTTCGAGCATCATTGAGCAAGAATGTGGACCAAACTAAATTTGGTAGCTTGGGCAATGCCTTCGCAATCATCTTTGTCGAAGTGTTCGAAGTGGGTACTTTGGCTGCCTGCGATTGGGAGATCATCGAAACTGCACTGGAATGCATTGTTGCAGCAAAGCATGTGAGAGACTTCGAGCTCTTGGACTGGGTCCAAGAGGAGGAAGCGAGAAAAGCTAGGGAAGCAGAGGCGCTGAAGGAGAAAGAAAATGCTGAGAAGGCTGAACAGGAGAAACTCAAACAACAGCACATCATGCGTCTGCAAGAGATCAGAGAGGTCAAACAACAATGCGAACGTGATGAAGCCAAACTTGTGGCGACATGTCGAGAATCTTCCAGCTCGCACTATGTGGATGGAGCTCCCAAACCAGGTGATTTATTCCGAGGAGACACACCCGAGATGAAAAAGCCGAAAAACGACTATCATGCCAAAGTCCAACCCAGATATGAAGTATCTCCAGGAAAGAAAAGGTGGATGAACGGAAAATGGTACAGACCTGAAGAAATTGAATTGTTTGAAAAATGTCGCAGAGAGACGAACGCAAGAATAGCAGCTAATAAGGCTGCAGCTTTGGCCCGCAGAGATGCCATGGCACAGCAGAAACGATGAGGACAGAAGGATACCACAAAGAGACGGCATATGCTTGAAATGTTTCAAAAGGATTAGTTAGGGGGCTTGATCATGGGATGATCATCTTCTCAGAAGTATTTTCTCAGCATTCGGGCAGAAAAAGAAAGACCGGATTGTAATTCATTTCAATGTTTTACTCATCAGATTGAGAAAAGTGACTCCAATTCTTCATTCTTCCTCGTTCGGCTCAAGGAGATGTTCTGTGCAATTTTTCTTTTATTTGATTCAGGACATGAAATGCGTACTTAACACAAGATGCAACTATGCGCTTTTATGTTATCAACGATCTCAAGAAGTCGTCCTTTATCATTTCAACTAGAAAGCAGCAGACTGTTTTTGTTGGCATTACGCAGCATTGCTCTATTCGCCATGCCACATCTTATGACATCTAAGTTACCAAGCGGCACGCCAGAATCTGCCAGATCATTCATTGGTTTGGTGAAACTCTTGAAGAAGCAGCTTACACTGGAGGATGTACACCAGTTGGCAGTTTTATCCAAGTCCATGAAGGAGGTTACAACAATTTGGCAAAAACTTCTATCCGACAATGGGAACGTACTGCCTCCAGAGTGGAACGCAGAAGAAGATTTGAGAAATGTGCAACATCGCTGTGATGACACACTCTTCAGTCAGGTTGGGAAAGCTCTAGCAACAGTGTTGACCGAATTGTTGCAGGTGATTGACCTCGACATTGAGAATCTGACTGACATTGTGGAACATCTCGACAACATGTCATCAACCAAGGAGAATTTGAACAATGGTTCAGCACTGGAAAAAAGAAAATTGGAATCTTGTCAGAGCCAAGATGACATTAGACGACAGAGCCTGGAACAGCTGCGGGCACTGCGACAGAAAAGAGAAGCTGTTGAAGACGAAGAAAAACAGATTGAAGCACTCATTGCCGACATTGACAAACGTCAGAACAGTGCTAAGTTCTCCAGTACAGCAGCAAGCAAACTTGCTGAAACTGTTCCCAAGAGATGCATTGAGTCACAAACTCGTGCTCGAATTTTTATGGAAGAATATCAAAAAAGGAAGCTGAGCATACCAGCCCAGGAATCAACAGAGACAATAAAGATTGGAGATCAGATGTGGAGTCCAACGCAACTGTTCGAAAGATGCAAGCTTTTGAAAGACGAAAAAGATCGAGCTTTTGCTGAAAAAAAGAACAAGAAAAAAGGTTGCTCCAGGAGACTATTAAAACAAACAGAATAATTGCATTGGCCAAAAAAAAGGCCAGAATATTCCAAGCGCATCTGGATGATACATTTGCTTTTTTCAAATAACGGGGTTATGTACACAATTTCTCGTGTCAATGTGGGTGAGACAATACGTCTGCATCAGATGTAGTTGTCTCTGTATGTTCGACCTGGGGCGTAGAAGAAAAAGAGGTCGTCGACAGTAGAAGTTCATAAGCAATATTTGGCTTGCATGTAATTGGAAATTCTTAGCTTTCTTAGTGTTCTGCTATTCATCAAACCTTGAGTCACGCTTTGTTGATATATTGTTGTGGATTTGTTCTTGAATTAAACCTGAATCATGCAACTTCATGCGCTCACTTTATCACGAACATTTCCGACACATTTCCCCGCCGTCGTTTTTTCGTCTCGAAGGCAGCACGTTCATTTTGCATGTGATTTGTCACGGATGACTTCTGCTAATTCTCGTCACCGTGCATGTTGTCATATGTGGACCTTCACAACGCCACAAGATTATTTGCAGAATGCAGCTGAACGAAAGGATCAGTGTCAGTATGTTCCAGAAGATTTCTCGAGGAACGACATATGTGAAATGTTTCGAACTGCTATGTCGGAACTTGGACACGGCTCCATTCTAGAGCAACTCGTTGTGGTCAAAGAGCCACTACTCAACCATTACGGATTTCAATTTCGTGTTATTTTCAAGACGAAAACTTCTTTTGCGAGTGACGACATTAATACACTGCTTGCCCAAAAAAGGGGATGCCGAGGTTCCATGAGCCATCCTGAGAAAAATTGGCAAAGTCTTGTACAGTATGTTCTGGATTGCAAAACAAAGCGAAAAGAGGTGGCCGAAGACAAGATCCCTTTATTTTGGCCGCACATGTGGCAGACCAAGAGTCAGGTGGTTCAGCAATGGCAGGATCAAGCAATGTCGCATAAACAGTGCACATCGAAACGAGGAAAACCAACCTTGGAGCAGCGACAGCTGAAGAGAAGAAGGACGCTGAAATTTGCGGATTTCGTGGAGATTGCAAAACAAAATGGCATCACCAATGAAAACGAGTTTTGGAAAATTGCTGGCAGAGAAAAAGATGCAGGTAACCATGCCTTGTGGAACTATGGAGGCAAAGTCATCGTCAGCCAGAAAATCTCCAAGATGTTAAAAATGAAGAGCGAGTGATTGCGTGCACATTGTCTAGTAATTCAGGCAAGTCCTGTGATCGAATGAAGATCACCATGCATTCTTTTGCACAAACTGCATTGTGAGCGCAAGAAAAATTAACGCGCGGCATAGTGAAACAGCATATTTGAAACATTTTGCATAAGCTTAGAACTGAACTATGATCCGTCTTTGCAGCACGGCAGTTCAAACAGAATATCGCATTCACATTCGCATCATCCAGACATATTTATACGATATAATATATATATACATCGGAAACAATAATACAAACAGCGATTCTACTGAATTGAAAGAACGTAGATTTCATGTCCTCGTCTCCCTCTGAGCCATGTCTGCAGACATCCTCAGTTCCGATTACTCAGAATGAAGAGCAAACTGCTCAACAAAAGGATGATTCTTCATATGTCCTTTGTCAATACGATTCCTCTGAAAATGAGGAAGAAAAGGCTCTGAAAACGGAACACAGATCATGGATCATGATGTGGACCTTCCCCACACCGAGATCGTATTTGAAAACTTATGAAGAAAGAAAGAAGAAAAATGAGCTGATTCCAAGAGACATCAGCAGAGAGGAGCTCGAAAAAAACTTTTTGGATGCTTTGAACAAGTGCCAGCTGATGGGGAAATTGAGGCAGATGATAGTGGTTTACGAACCACACAAGAAGCTTATGCCGGATGGCAGTGCACACGAAATGCACTACCACGTTTGTTTCAAGATGTCTGCAAACTTTGCCCACAAAGGGGTGTCCAACACACTCGCTCAACACTACGGGCTACATGGACACATGTCGTACCCGAGGAAAGGCTGGTACCAAATGGCAAAGTACGTGCTCACAGACTCTGCTGTGAAGCTACCCGTACATTTAGACCCGACTCCATTATTCTGGCCGACAAGAATGACAAAAGAAGACATGCTGAAGAAGATGCAGCTCACCGAAGAGGACTACTTGAAAAAAAGAGCGGAAGAAAATAGGATGCAATGGAAGGAAGAAAGCAACAATGGCGATGGTACACATCAGGACCGATGGAGAAAAAGAAGGAGAGTGCTCGATTTCTCCGAATTTTCCGACTACGTCCTACACCACAAAATCACAAACGAACAAGAGTTCTGGGTGTTGGCTTGTAAGGAGAAAGAAGCAGGCAATCCAACTCTGTGGAACTATGGTGGAACGGCGGCTGTGGCCAAACAAATCCAGAAATGCAATAAGGCACACATGGCCCAATTCCGGGACGATGTCTTTTTAGGCACCTCCAAAGCTACAAGCAAATATCCATTATCTGCTTTCAACATCCCAGACGATATTCGTGTTTGGATGAAACACTTCAAAGGTGAAATGGCTCTTATCATCCAAGGCGAGGGAGGACTTGGAAAGACAGAAATGGCAAAGGCAATATTGGCCTCAATGGGAAAGTACTTTTTTGTGGACAGTTTGGATACTGTGAAATCATTGCTTTTCACAGGAAAAGAGTCGATTCTTTTCGACGACGTCACACTGCAGAACTTCTCAGTTGACGAGGTGAAGTCGTTTCTCGACGTCAAATCGGAAAGAGCCGTGAAATGCCGCCATGAGGATGGTTTTATTCCTGCTGATACTGTCAGGATATTTCTAACAAATCATGAACGGCATACCTTTTTTCCAAGGGAAACTGATAACAAAGATCATTCAAGGGCCATCAACAGAAGAATGATCTGGGTCACAGTGACCGAGAAACTGTTCACGGAATCAGATGGAAAGACTCAAAAAGACAAAGAAAAAAAAGTTGGAGTACAGTGTGAGTCGGAGATTCCGGTAATGGATGATCTGGAAACACTCAAAACAAAACAATCGAGGAGTGCAAAGGAAGCTTCCTTCAACAGCCCATTTGATGAAGAATATGAACCTTTGTTAGAAGAATACGACATGTTCGACGGAGATGAGGAAGCTGCAATGTGGATGAATCTTTCTTCGGAAGATGCATGCAGAGAATCTCCTGCCAGCTCAAAAGGATTGCCTTTGCTGAGTTCAGGGAAAACCTCGCCTTCCGCAAACAAAGAGCTTGAAGCAAAAATGATGATCGAGAAAGAGACAAAAAGACCCGGAAAAGATGAGACCGCTCACCTTGGAAAAGACACGGTTTCGATTGAGAATCATGAACATGATCGACCTGAACCCAAAAAAAACATCAATCGAGTGAAGTGCATTGCCGAAAACAGTTTCCGACCTTTGGTCAGATACAGGAGAAAGAGCAAGCCGAACCCTCCATGGCACCACTATGAACATCGAAGAAGAGATGTACGATGGGGCACGTCACAGAAGTCATGGTGGCCGTGGCAATCATGAAATGCGAGAGATTTATCATTACAATGTCCATTTGGTTTTGCTCCAAAGCAGGGCTCTTCAACAGCGAGTGATCGGGCTTCAGATGAACACAACTATGGCAGGATTATATATTTGCTATACGATTGGAAATAAAAATCATATGTACAAGCTGTTTGTTTCATCATGTTACCTCTTAGCTGCCCTGCACAATCATTTTGTCTCGTTTTCAACGAGAAATTAACGAATGCTGGGAAAAGCATTTTTGCTTCATTGTAGAATTTACATGAAGCTTAATTAGAAAATGTTTCCGTTTGCACACAGACGGAAGAAACGATCAGAGAGTTGTTCTGCTGTGTCTGCTGAAACATGTTTCGTTTCTTTATCGTGGCTACTGACTCAGAATAAGCTTCTTGCAGAGAATTTCTAGCTTTCATTGCATCTTCTCATAAGGTCTTGTTGATTTCTGTTCGAAGTGCAAGGGAAATGTACTTTTTTTTGGCTTCAAACAAACGCGGAAACGGTAAACTGAGGGGCGAAAGACAAACAGTCCTCATGGTCTTTTCCATCAGATCCAAACAACACATCATCTTGTCCTCGATTCTATTTGCAGTTCGAGCTCAAAAACTTTCGTTACTTGGTCGCAACATGCCAAAACCCGAGGAACTAGATACGGCATGCCTGGTTTATTTGTTGACAGGTCATTTGACGGTATGCATCCACTCAGCTTTCACAGAAACTGCAAATGATGAGTGGAACACTCGGACAATCAATGTCAAACAGTTCCTGGAGAAAGGGAGGCATGTAACGAGGAAGTTGGCAGACAACGATTTGGAAATGTTTTATCATTTCGATTTAGCTTGGACGGATGCAGCTTATTTTTTTCAATCTCTGCTGCACAAGAATGGGAACGTGGATGCTCGCAAATTGAAAAGCAAAGAAACATCATTGCAAAGCAAAAGGAAAGGTACGTTTGCAGAGACAGATTCCAAAATTGCTATGCTAGTTCAGCGACTTACCAATGATGTGACACATGGCATCGGAAAGCAACATCCGAATGACTGGGAGGAAATTGCCAACAAATACATGTGGGCCAACGCTCAGCTCACTCATTTGCCAAATATTCTCGGTTTGGAACAGAGTATGCGTGCATTTCACCTTTTGACTTTGGAAGCTTCTGAATTTGCATCGTCGCTCCATGATGAGTGGAAAAGAGAAGAAGCACGAAGACACAATCAAGAAGACGAATAGATCGCTCCATTTACCGACGACAATGAAACTGTGATCTGCAGTGATGCTTAGAATCCAAAAAATCCTACGAATATATCTTGGGTATGTTTTTCGGCCCTTACTCAACATTTGTAGAGGCCACGCATTGGCTCAACAAATGGAACCGGATGTGGTCGACTGGTTGGGGTGCGTTGCAATCAAATGGACTACATACAACAAATGTCTGACGTGTGAGCAGTGGTGATGTCTGCAAATCAGTCGTTTTACCCGACATTTTGGTGAATGCATTGTCCGATGTGCGGCAAACATCTTGGTTGCAACCTAGCAGAGGAGACCAGCGCAAAAAAAGGCAGTCATGCTGAGATCGGATTTAAAATCAATGTTATCCGGCAATGGTATTTAAAATCAATGACATGAACGAGGCTGGCTTCAAATGACCATTACTTTCTGTCCTCACCGTGAACGTGCCACGAATGCGTGTTTATGCTTTCGGCTCAATTCTGTTCATTCCTTTTTTGTAAACAGAATAGATCATTTCATGCCACGAAGATATTTCAAGAAGGGCATTAAACAAACACCCATTTCGTAGCTTCATTACATTGAAACAACATGTGATTGGAGAGACCACATGAAAAGACCTAAACTAAGATTGCCTCCAAAATAAATGGCAATGGCATGGGATGCGATGGGTACCACCTTCGATAGTCTCATCGATCCATTGTTCAAGATCAACAGTCTATTGGCACGCTTGCAGGATCTGGAATCAGATCTATTTCAGATACAGGAGGACACACCAGGTTATTTCTTAGAAGCCAATCATGCAATCAAACAGGCTCTGGCGCAAGCACGACAAGCGATTCGGGCAATTGAACAACAGCAACGCAGACATCTGGTTTTTTTTCACGGAAGCCTTGTGCGGTACCATACCGATCTTGAAAGATTTCCACCACTTTGCGATCCTCAAGCAGGCTTTTTACACAGCCAGTAGCCAGTGAGAGATTCCGAAGAAGGATGATCTTAGAAATTTCCCAATTAGGAACCTAAGACGATTCTTGGGTGCAATTTGTGCAAAGTCTTAGGCGTTGAGGGAGACATTGAACGCCAAGAGAAAAAGCTCGCACAGTGCATCAGCATTCAAACTGTGTATGCAAGGTTCGGTGAACTTTGTCGCGGAATTGGAGGAAAAAAAAGGTTTCAATACAATCGTACAGATGAAAGTTGGTGATAGGGAATGTTCGTGATCCGGTTCGAAAGAAAAGAATGTTCCAGATGCAAGTCGGTGATCGGGACTGTTCGTGATCCGGTTCGTAAAGCATTGATTTATTTAACCTCCTTTTTTTCAAGGATTTGCATCATAGAGAGTTGCACCGATGAGTTTTATTTTTCAGACATTTGGTGCGACTGAAAGCTGCGATGGTGTCTTGGTACGGTCATTTGGTGCGACTCACAGGTGCGACTTGTGTTTGGTACTGTCATGTGGTGCGACTGAAAGGTGCGCCGGTTTTTTGGTACGGTCATGTGGTGCGACTGAAAGGTGCGACGGTTTTTTTGCTACGGTGATCTGGTGCGACTGCAAGCTGCGACTCTTCGTCTGCTACGATCATTTGCTGCGACTCAAGGGTGCGACTCTTGGCTTGGTACGGTCATGTGGTGCGAATGAAAGGTGCGACGGTCTTTTGGTACGGTCATGTGGTGCGACTGACAGGTGCGACGTGTGTTTGGTACGGTCATGTGGTGCGACTGAAAGGTGCGACGCTTGTTTGGTACGGTCATGTGGTGCGACTCACAGTTGCGACGGTTTCTGGTTACGGACATTTGGTGCGACCGAAAGGTGCGACGGTGTTTTGGTACGGTCATTTGGTGCGACTCGAAGGTGCACTATTTCTTTGGTACGGTCATTTGGTGCGTCTCACAGGTGCGACGTTTGTTTGGTACGGTCATGAGGTGCGACTGAAAGGTGCGCCGGTTTTTTGGTACGGTCATGTGGTGCGACTGAATGGTGCGACGGTTTTTTTGCTACGGTCATCTGGTGCGACTGCAAGCTGCGACTCTTCGTCTGCTACGATCATTTGCTGCGACTCAAGGGTGCGACTCTTGGCTTGGTACGGTCATGTGGTGCGAATGAAAGGTGCGACGGTCTTTTGGTACGGTCATTTGGTGCGACTCACAGGTGCGACTTGTGTTTGGTACAGTCATGTGGTGCGACTGAAAGGTGCGACGGTTTCTGGTTGCGGACATTTGGTCAACTGACAGGTGCGACGGTGTTTTGCTACGGTCAGTTCGTACCGCACCGTACCTAGACTAGTTTTTTTGGTTTCGTCAAAGCATTACTCTTCAGCTTAGCCAAGTATGAAGCAAGTATAGGTATACTAGCTTTAAAGCAAAGAGTGCATTCCCAAAAGATACTGAAGTCTCAAATGATGGCTCGAAGAGCTGATGTTGAAATAATGCTATTCTACAGGTGCAGCTTGCTATTATTTTCATGGTATTTGTCATTTTAAAATAGACAGGTTTACCAGGAAGATGCTGAATCGTTTACAGCAATTCATAGGATGCCATTCAGCTCACCCTAAAGAAACAACATCACACAATTCGTGCCAGACGTGCTCATGCCATGGATTACCGTTGCTTTCTGAGGGAAGTTCATTACAGAATCGTCGATGAGAACGAAGAGAACTGTCATCCTACTTCCTTTACATTGAGAGATGCAAGCAAACTTGCCAAAGTTGATGTTGGGACACCACTCTTTCAGCACGACAACCAACATTATACAATTGAAGGTTTGGTCCCAAAGAAAGAAGACCAGATACAGCTGACCAGAAAAGAACAGTCTTGGTTGCTTGTAGAAATTCCAATCGTGCCTGACTATCCAGAATATGCCTGGGCTGCACTGAGACCAGCACGAACAGTACCGTGGGAAAAACATGCTCAAGAGAGAAGTGACGGTTACTACTCTCCTGCAGGCTTCAAACCACGATATCCTGAACCGAGCAAATGG